TAAAGAAAGTAATAGGGTTAATAGAGTTTAGAGTAATAGAGTATTGGGGTTATATAAATATATAAATGTTACGTTTTTCTTTTTTTTTCAAATTTTGGTAAAATAAAAAAAAAATTTGTTAAAAACTGAAAAAATTTTCAACTAAATAAGTTTTTTAAATTTCATAAAACTTGAATAAATTTGAATTTAAAGTTCATTATCAATCAAATTTGATAACTTCAAATTTGATTGGTCTAACTCGAAAATTCAAATTTTGAACAAATTTAAATGAATTCGAACAAGCATTTTTTTCAGCTACTTCAATTCTGCAATGAAAACTAGTTAATAATGAAAGATTCATATATTTAATCGTATAACTTAAAATAGAAGAACCCCATAAAGTTAAAATTTAAAAAAATCTTGTTTCAGAAACGAAAACTTATTTAGAACACAATGAATGACACTTTGCAACAAACGTCAGAAAAGTGGAGTATTTTTATTTTTTGAATCATACTTACCAACTTTTAACCCTATTTAATAGGTACCGTTAAAAGGTCTTCTTTGATCACCTTATATATAATAAGAGAACCTTATGTATAAAAATATTATTATACATAACATTTTTATACGTGCTCTTACTATATATATAAGGTTATCAAAGAAGACCTTTTAACGGTCTTCTCAGAGATCACTGCGGAAAAACACCTTCCTTACTAATGTCGCAATGTTGCATTGCAAATGCATTCCAACGATAAAAATTTTACTTTTATACGCGGCTCACAAAAAAATAAACATATAAAGCAGGCATTTTCAACTATATTTATTTTAAATATATCTTATACTGCTGAGTTAGGTGAGCATGATGATGTCATACTCACCTAACGTCAAATAGCCTGCTGCCGGGGGCTTCAGTACATACATCGACTGACAAATAGCCTGACTCGCAGTGGAGTGCTGCTACATCGACTGAGGGTTTGGTATGGGTCAGCAACCTTTTCATTCATTATTCTTCGTTATCCCTCATTGTTTTCTAAAAACGCTCACTTAATTTAGGCTAGCAAAAAAAGTGAGCAATTGCGCATATAAATATGCTATAGTAGATATTATATATATATATATATATATATATATATATATATATATATATATATATATATATATATATATATATATATATATATATATATATATATATATATATATATATATATATATATATATATATATATATATATATATATATATATATATATATATATATATGTATGCATATATATATATATATTTATGTTGTATCTATCAATACCAACATATAAAACAGGCATTTTCAATTATATTTATTTTAGTTATCTATTTCGCATTTATGTTATATCTATCAAAATAAAGAACGTATTTATATATATTAAAAATAAAACGTTTCTGTTTAACTAAAACAGTTAAGTTACTGCTTTGCATGCGTCTCACAATTGGAATTGAAAATGGCATTTTTATAAGCTCGTAATTTTTCACATAACGAGTTACTGCAACATTTACACATATATGCAAAGCAAACTGTTTGTCTTCGTCTCCAAAAACAATGGCAACGGGGAAACTTTTTTCTCCTACTATTTAAAAATAAAAATTTATTAAATATATGCGGCCGTGGCGCAGTGGTTAAAGCGCTTGCTTTACAAGCAGGAGATCTAAGTTCGAAACGAGCTTTGGACATATTTTGCGTCGCGGTAAGGAAGGAGGCGTAAACTTCCTGGTTAAATGCACTTCTGCGGTGCTCTGGGACAAGACCGATAGTACTTCTTGGGGCACCTAACCAACAAATAAATTTAAAATATATATATATAAGATCTTTAAACTCACCTTCAGCAAGCAAGAAAAGATTGATTCTACTAAATTAATATTTAAAAAAAAAAAAATTATTTGCATGATTACAAAAACTAGAATCTTTTTTTAGAATCTTTTTTTAATAAAAAAAACTCTGTTTGCATTTGCAAATCAATCCTTTTTTAACACCAACTGAAGAAAAAAAGTATTGAGACAAAATTAATTTTACATCAATTTCATTAAATGATGAATCCAAACAATTAGAAGTAAATAACTTATTTTTTGAGTCTAAAAAAAAACACCTTCGATGAAATAAAAGCAAAAAGTTGAAGATCAAATATTATATTCAGCGTTGCCACTGCCTGAGTTTTTCGTTGGAGAGTGCCGAAAAAATCTTATTTAAATTAATGCGCTGAAGTTAATTTACATAAGAATTTTTCGAAACTCTCCTACATTTAAACCCAGCCAGTGGGAACGCTGATTTTATTCGCAAATATCAAAAGAGTCATAAGCTGCATTCATTTCTTGCACAATGGTTTAAAAAGTTTTCATAGCAAAAAATAATAAAAACTTTTTTTGTGTCTTTTTTATTTAGTTATTTACTTTTTCAAAAAGTACTTTTGCAGAAACAACAATTTTTATTTAAAAAAATAATAACTCAATCATACTCTTTTTATTTTGAAAAAAAAGATTGCTTATTGTGCTTCTGACTGCTTATTGTGCTTCTGACTGCTTATTGTGCTTCTGACTGCTTATTGAGTTTCTGACTGCTTATTGTGCTTCTGACTGCTTATGGTGTTTCTGACTGTTTATTGTGCTTCTAACTGCTTATTATGCTTCTCACTGCTTATTGAGCTTCTGACTACTTATTGTGCTTCCACTGCCACTGTCAAAAAAATAACAGGAATTTAAAAGACTAAAAAAAAAGGACAATTTAAAAGTGAAAATTTACTAGCCGTTATCAAATGAGCAACCGTAGCGCATTGGTTAACTCGCTTGTCTCAGAAGCTGGAGATCCGTGGTACTCTGTGATAAGGCTGTAAGGACTTAAAACAAATAAAAAATGCTTTTGAGATCTTGTATGTTGAGGAATTTCATTGCAAAGGCTCGATAATAATGACAATCTAATTCAGATTTTACATCTTCTAGGAAAAAAAACTCCAAGAATATACTGAAACATCTTTGAGGCCGGGTTAGGTGCAAACACACTCATCATGAAATCCAGAACGAACTATTGCTCACAATGGCATGAAAAATTTCCATGTTCCTATAACCAAAAGTTTGATAAACTTTGCGTAACAAGACCATTAGAGAAAACTGTTTTATAAAGATGCTGGATAGCTACAAAACTTTGATAGAGTTGTGGGAGCAATCAGTAGCAGAAAGTTTAGATTTTGATACAAAATGAAGAGTTAAGGGCTAAAAAAAATTAAATAAACTTATTTGATTTTTATTTCTGTCTAAATTTAAGTCATAGTCTTTATGAAATTACAGACAACCTTACAATTTTTTTTTTTTTTTTAAACATCTTCGCTTCCAACCACTTATTAGAGTGGAAGTTAATGGAAGTGAAATGATGAAGACTGCAGAGCAAGATAACGATTGACAGACAACTTAAATTAAAATATGTTAATTGTAAAATATTGGGAACTATGAGAAATTAGCGCGAACTCAGCCTAATTTACGAAAACAAAAACCAAAACCATTTCAAAATGTGAGAAAAAAAATGTGATGATTGGAGGCTGGAACGAAAAAGCCCTTTAATTTCATGACCCCCCTCCTTACTCCAAACATGAGGGGCAGCAAGTTGATAAAATATCTTATTTTTAGATTTGGAGAGGAGGAAATGAAATTAAAGGGATTTTTTGTTCCCAGTCTCCAATCATCGCAATTTTTTGCACAGCCTCATTATTTGACATTCCGTTGAAAGCAAGAATATAGGTTTTTTGTGTAGTTTTTTGTGCTTTTTGAAAAATCCATAGGGCCTTTAACATATAAAATTTCCTTTTTATTATTCAACATATTTTATAAGTTTAATTTTTATATATAAGTTTAACTTTTTTTTTTTTAATGTTACAACATTCAGATTTTTTTTTGTAGCCTCCGTCTTTGTTTTTTACTGGCTCGGCCGGCTCGACTCCGGCTACTCCGAATTTTATAAACAAAAAATGCAAACTTTGGAAGATTTTTTTTGATCAAACCAATTACAACATTTAGTTTCGTTAATCGTGTTTAATTAATTTAATTAATCGTGTTAACAGAAAAGAAGACTGTATTACTATCACTACTCTACTGCCGCATTTTATATTTAAAAAGAAAAATGTTTTGGGTAAATACACATTTATTTCTATATATTAAAAAGTTCAAATTTCACGTGTTCGAATTAAGTTATTACAGCTAAGTAAGTACGAATCAATTTATTAAGAGCATGCAAAATTTTGAAATGTTTTAAACTAATTAAAAAAGTTAAAACACATCATGTGACTTAATAAATAAATAAAATAATATCTGTTAACCAATCATTGACTTGAACATTGATGACTAATCAAACGCGACAATATGAACCATAACATAATAAACAAAATTAGCTAATAAAGGAACGCTTTTTCACAAGCAAACAAAAACAATATAAAAAACACGAAAGCCAAAAACCACTTGATTTTTGCGGCCCCGGCTCCACCAAAAAACAGCAACTACCTGGCTCCGGCTTCGGCTCGGCTAAACAAGCCTGCTTTTATATCTAATTTACAATATGATACAATACGATAGGACCTTACTTTAATAAATAAACTAATGTCGTAAAATAAATTATGCCTGATGATTTAGTAAATAGTTGCTAACTCAATTGTAGTAACTTTTAACTATTTATGATATATCTCATTTTCTATTAGTATATATTTCTCAATTTCTTTAAATCATATAAAACGTTTAAAATTATATTGATAATTGGAACATAGCAATAAATTAATAAACTTTCGACAAAATTAAAATGTATATATATTTTTTTTGAAAATGAAAGGAATGTGATGATTTTGATAGAAGTTTAAAGTTTTTAAGTCTTCATTTTTTTTCTTTTAAGCCTTAAAGTTTTTAAATCTTTAAATTTAAGTCTTTTTCAAAAGAGTTCCGTAGCAGGTTACATATATGGCACACACAAATACCCGATATATGGCACAATACACACCCAATATATGGCACGCATTTTTTTTTTTTAAGTCGATTCCGTACTCATCGCGTCAAACTGAAAAATAGAATATACAACAAATCTCAAGTAGCTATTCAGGTTATTCGTGTATTTAAAAATAGCAAGCATAAACTTCTAAAATAAAAATTATGGAATCGCCTACTATAAATTCTCAAAACGTAAGTCTTTTTTATTTTATATAGTTTGTAATATTCTGTAGTTTTAACTTGCAACAATAATTTAGCTATTTAGAAAAAGATTATTCTAGTTATACAATTAAAACACTTGTTGTATGTTTATTTTATCATAAAATTAATTAATTATTATACTTTTTAGTTGATGTATACATATGATGTGATAGAAATATAGTATTAAATGATAATATTTATAAAGTCTTTACTTCTATGTCTATTATTAACAGTTGTTGGTGCATATGGTATATATGTGTAAATTAATATATATATATATATATATATATATATATATATATATATATATATATATATATATATATATATATATATATATATATATATATATGTATATATATATGTATATATATATATATATATATATATATATATATATATATATATAAATGTATATATATATATGTTTATATATGTTTATATATATGTTTATATATATATATATATATATATATATATATATATATATATATATATATATATATATATATATATATATATATATATATGTTAGTGTATTCTACAAAAAGAGTGCTTAATGTTTTGATTGTGTATTAGTTAGAGTTCTGGCTTCAGAACTGAAGATTCATGACTGGAAGCTGGCTCTGGCAATCTAGACATCATTGGTAAGGAAGGTGACACAATCCTCCTTACCAATTAAGTACCATTCTGTGATGCTCTATAAGATTGTTAGGACCTCTTGGAGCATCCAAATAACTTATATATAATAAATATATATATATATATATATATATATATATATATATATATATATATATATATATATATATATATATATATATATATATATATATGTATATAAGACCTCAGAATTAGGGTTGGCATTTTAAAATGTTGACCTAAAAGTATTTGAGGTTGGCAAAAAATTGCTGTCCTTGTTTCTATATTTTACAGTAATCCCTTTGTGTCAATTTTTTTTTTATGACCTCTAACAGTTTGCTTAAACTGAGAAAAACTAATAACCTAAGAATTTCAGAATTTCAGAATACTTTTCAATATTATGAATTAGAATATTCTTCAAATTATACTGTAAGTTTTTAATTTTGTTTTTTTAAAAGAAGTTGTAATTTAAAAAATTATTTAAAGTTGTAAACTTAAGGAAATAAGAAATAAACAAATTAAACTTCAATTCTATAAAACTCTGAATTTTTGCTTATGTTTGTTTAAGTTGTATTTAGTGGATTATATCTGATGATCATGTGTTCTGTGTTGAATTAATGTTTTTGCACTGTTTGCAATAATTATTTGATATTTAAGTATCTTTTTTTTTTATCATACTAAAATTTTAACTCACAAAATCTTATTTGTTTGTTGTGCTGAGAGCAAATTGATTCTAATTTTGTTTTACACTTGATTACCTGTGTTTTTCATAGGAAATTAAGTGTTAATATACATGGTATTGACATATTGGTAATAGACATGGTATTGACATGGTATCTATTGCACATGTAAATACCGTGTCTATTACCCCATGCATGTTTTGCACCATTCTTGACAGATTTGTAGAAGTTGATTGTCCTACTTCATTACAAGCAAAATCTATTATCATAAGGTATATAGATCATATGATCTATATCTTTTGTAGTTTTTTTAATTGCATTAAACCGTCTTTCTAATAATACTTCACACACTAGAAATGGTATTAACTATCTAATGGTGCTATTCTATCACTGTACATTATTGATTCATTTTTTACTAAGTTCAGTCCACAAAGTATCAAGTGCATCTGCTGCATTTGATACGTTTGCATACCACTACTTTTCCTATTTGTATAATCACAGCAAGTTTTATAGATAAGGCATCATATTAAAGCGAATTATTATGTGAGGCATTGTATTAAATTAGGCTTTAGTTTTTTTATTTTTTATTTTGCTTCACTGATACAGTTTTGCTTGATAAACATCTTCATTTGCTGTGTCAATTTGCATATTTCTTAATGGTTTAGAAAATTTCACTGGATATATCTTTTTGACTTTGTTTTCTTGTACAACGAGTATCAGTTATTGTTCCAGAGCTATTATTTGTCCCAGAGCTAACTTATCATATGGTACATAATCCCAGTGTTAATCCATCAATTTCTTTCTATTACTTTTTCCAAGTTCTCCATTTTTTTTGCAAATATTTTAAACTCTCTTTAGCTTGGTCCTTATAGCGTTGCATGTTCAGAGCATTATGTTTGAATTTTTTATAATTAAAGCATATGGTGTGTTTGTGCTAGTTAAACACATTGCTTGGGTAGTATTGTTGTTGCTTTTTTTTTACGGTAACAGCCTTTACAAATGTAAGTTCTTAATGTTCCAGTAATTGCTAATTGACTGTAGCTCTATTGCTGAAATCTTTAATGAATTGGTCACACTATCTAGACTTAAAATTATATTTAAAAAATTCAACAACATTCACCTATATTAAACATTTGAAGCTTCTTTAAGAGCAGTAAATTGTATAGTTTTGGTTAATGTAATGGTAAAATATCATGAAGCTTTCTGGCAGTAGTTAATAGTAAGTACAAGTCTATGTTTTACAGATTGACATAAAAAATTTTTTACTATGGAAAGACATTTACAATTGAAACTCAATTGAGCATTATGGATCTTGTTTAGTCATAGGCATTTCGATTGAGCAAAATATAAAAAAATTCAATATTTCACTGTGCACAGTTTTGTGTAAGTTAAAGAGAGGATAAAGCTAAGTTTTTATGCCTGTGACTGCTTTAAAGCATCTCACATAGCTAAAAAAATATGTGAACATAAAGTTAACTTAAAAAAAGACTATGTAAAAAACTTATTGTAATTTGTCCTTGCTCTTCTTTATAATTTTATTTACAAGATTTTATATTTATTTTTTAATGAAAGGTAAACAATTATGTTTTGTATTTTTATATATATGCAGTGTTAACACTGTATAATTTTTCAAATAACATAAAATTACAACCTAACATAATTTAAAAAGTTAATTTAATTTCTTTGAATTTCTTTGATATTGAAATGCTTGTCTTCCAATTTTGATTTGAAATATTGAAAAAAATGTATATTTTTATCGAAAAATTATACAATTTTCAATTAAAAAGAATTATTTTTATTAAATCATCTAAATTTTCAAGCAGTTTAAAGTATATGATGTTTTTATTTGTGGCTTTTTATTTTTTAGAAAACTTGTACAGATATTAGTAAAGAATGATAAATATATATATATATATATATATATATATATATATATATATATATATATATATATATATATATATATATATATGTATATATATATTACAAAAAATGTTAAATCTATTGAAAAAATGTAATTTTGATACTTGTGAAAATATTGTAGTTTTTCAGGGTTTTTTTAGAAATTATATCTGCTATGTAATATAGTATACCTGCTATGCAATAAATTTACGCTTATTTAGAGCTTATTGCATTTTTTGTCAATCAATTATTATAATGTATCTTTTGCATTCAAATAATAAAAATCATATTGTGTTTAGACAGGGGTATATAAGTTCCACATTTGGGACCTAGTACCTAGTCTAAACAGAATATGATTTTTATATAACTAGCTTATGATTAAAAAAATTATTTCAGATTAAAATTATTTCAAATTAAAATTATTTCAGATTAAAAAAAGTATTTCAGATTAAGTCAGAATTATCATGATCATCCTGCTACTCGTTACCTTTAACTTTATATGTTCTGCTGCCTTCAAGGACTTGATTTTTCAGGTGAATGCTGGAAGAAATTAACTTTGACTTGAAATACTCTCTTTTTGGGACACTTGGTTTGGTAAAGGCTAGAACAAAGGTGTTTTTTGTTTAGGATAACAAAAGATGGATTTTTATAATTCTATTCATAGGTTTTTGCTTTTGCCTTTTTTATGGTGACAATTCAACTCTTTAACATTTTTTTAATGAGGGTATAGCTCTAAAAAATTTTTAGTGGTATTAATGCAGCTAGTAGTAAGGTTTATAAACTCTGTTGTAGCTCTCATGTTGTGTATGGAGGGTGTCTTTGTGCATTGTTGAGGCTAAATAAGGAACTCTTTGTTACAACTTTTTGATTTTATCAACAGGACTGAAGCAACTATATAGCATATTGCTTAGAGTGCCATGTCTAATTTAGTCATGGTCTCTAATAATTTAAAATATGACTATAGTTCCTTAAAAAATTAATCATAAAAAATAATGATGTACCGATATCACTTTTTTGGCCGATGCTGATACCGATGCCAATGAATGGGAAAAAGCTGATACTGATGCCGATAACAATGAATTTACTAATTATTAAAACTTTAAATTGGTATTGGTAAAGAACTACTTGGACTCAAATCAAACCCAAACAATTATTTTTAAAAGATATTAGAAAAACTCAGTTATAAAAATATACATTTTTATTTTTTTTCTACTATGAAAAGAAAACTTTAAAAAAAATAAAACCAATTTTAGAGGAACGCTTTTTATTTTAATTTAAAAAAAAGAAAATATGCATATGCAGTTTACTTAGAATTCTTTATTAATTTATTAGTAATTCAGATATCTAAACAGCAATCATATGTTGTTTAGACAAATTATTTTTAGAAAAATAAATTGTTTTAAGAATTATTTTAATTTGTGATGTTGGATCCCCACCAGGTCCCTGGTAGTACAGCGCTTAACTTGTTTCTACACGCAGCGGCGTTGTTCATCAAGGTTTGTGTTTCTGATTTATAAAGTTGAAAGTGGGTTGTAACCATAACTAAAGTAGCCTCCTCAATTGAAGTGGCCTTTGTGGCCTTAGGGAGGTGAATTTAAATAAAATTAAAAATATAGAAATATACTTGGTACTTGGCTATACTTAAATACACGAAGTAAGGCTGAACTATTTGCAAAGAAATTCTCTTCTAATCTGACTTTCGAATCTTATGGCCATTCTCTTCCTTCCATTCTAATTAAACAAGTTAACCCATTGTTAGACATTCGAATCATTTCAGTTTCCATTCAGAGTCATATCTTGATTAAACTCTTCTATGGCTTGACAACATTCCTGTCACAACTTTCCTGACAACATTCCTTGACAACATTCCTGCCTGCTGGGAAATGACATCTGTTGTTCTAATTTTTAAACACTCTGGTAAACTTACTGACCCCTCCAATTATTGTCCAATTGGTCTTCTTTCTGTTATTAGCAAGGTCTTTGAGTCTTTGATAAACAAATTTCTCACATTCCATCTTGAGTCAAATAACTTGATGTCAGACAAAAAACCATTGTAGTACTGTTGACATTCCTCTATTGATGAATGGCAACCCTCTCACTGATTCCACTTCTTTACGTCTTTTTTGGATTATCATTTACTACTGACTTTTTATAGAAACCATATATACAATCGATTGGTAAATTAGCATCTGCTAAGATTGCTTCTTTATCATGCTCACCATTTTCTCTCTCCTGATTCCATTCCCTACCTCTACAAATCTCTTATTCATCCCTGTATGGAATATTGTTATCATATTTGGACTGGTTCTTCTAATGATGCTCTTTCTCTTCAGGATAAGGTTTAAAAACGCATTGTAAACAGAGTTGGACCCGGTCTATCTGCAAAGCTTGAGCCTCTTTCCCATCATTGTAAAGTTGCATCTCTTTCTCTTTTCTACTAATACTATTATGGTTGCTGCTCAAAGGAGCTTTCATCTTTAGTTTCATCAATCAAAACTCATTCTTGGTTGACTTTTCATTCATCAAAGTTTCATTCTTTGACTGTATCTGTCTCTTTATGCTCCAAAAACTTTTATTTGTCTAGCTTATTTCCACGCACTTCAATCCTTTGGAACTCTGTCCGATCTTCATGTTTTCCTGACTCGTAAAATCTTCAACTTTTTAAGTCTTCTGTCAACCACTTCATTGCTCTATAACTCTACTCTTTTTTTCTAGCAATTCCCAACTTGATAGTGGTTGCTTGTAGCCTTATTAGGAGTGAAAAAGAATTAAAAATATATAGATAACAATGCTTAAATATGTTACTTTTAAAGCTTTCACCTGTAAACAAAGTAAAAATAAAAATTTATTTAAAAAATTAATTAAAAATTAATTAAATAAATTAAAAAGTAATGCACAAAGTTTATTTATTATTTAATTATTATGATAATGCAGGATAAAAATATCAAAGTGCCATCGGGTGGAAAATGGGTAAAAAAAGGCCAATACCAATTGTGCAAAAAATTGCTGATTAAGCTGATGCCGATACCGATTAATCGGTACATCACTAATAAAAAACCATAATTATTATCAAATTATTTCTTTTAAAAAATATTTTTGATCTTTAAAATAACTTCTGTCAAATTTTAAAAAGTTCATTCAACTGTTCAATCTTGAAAACTGTTCAATCTTGAAAAGTTCACCTATTTGCTTTTTGTAAAACTAAATTAAATTCAGTTCTTTAGATATCCATGCTGATTGTGCTTTGATTATTCTCAATCAGTCTGCGGTCAAACTGCTGTTATTGCTCTTACTGTGATGGTCTTTAAGATTTAAATATCCAAACCTCTATATCTTATCTAGAGTCTTACACCTTACTCTCTAACATTCAATACAAATTTCAATCCTGTTATTCTACTACTAGCATAAAATCCAGTCTAAAAAAAATTTAGATTGAATAAAACAGATCACATAAAACATTTTGATCTATTTGCTGTGACAACATGGGCTCACAGTGCACAGTAAGATAGTTACATACAGGGTGGTGAGATAGGCACAGTGAGATAGTTACATAAAGGGTGGCCAAAATTATTTCTCCCATTTTTTTTTTTAATTTAAATAAAATGTATATAGCTAAGCATGTATGTTCAAAATTTCACATAATTTTAATCTATAGTTTCCTAGAAACTTAACTTTGAAACATTAGCGCAAATAAGGTTTTTCCCGGGGAGGGGGTTTGGTTTAAACACCATATCAAAACTATATAATTTAGATACTATATCAAAGCTTACTTAAAAATTATAATTTATCCTTAAAATAAAAAAAGCTTAAAAAATGTATTTAAAAATATTTAAGGGTTGAGAAAAAAGGAAGAAAGTTATTTCTGCACCTGCCCTTCCAATCTCCCAAAGTTACTTTAAAAAGTCAACTAAGTAATTTTTAAGAAAAAAGTGATGTTTCTTTTCTATATCTTGTTTGATTTTATGGATTTTTCTTTTGTAAACTCCATATAGATAGGTTGACAGAATCTTATACTTTGAGAAGATTTAGTTACATTTAATTTTTTGTATTTTTATTAAATTTTTTGTGTATAATATTAGCTGCAATGGCGTTGTTGCTACTGTTATTAAATCTGAACCACTATCATCGGCGCAATCCATTCTTTGATGATGTTTAGCGTTTCCAGAAGTTTCATCAAATCCCCATGAACTCAGTATTATTAAATCTTCACAACCTTTCTTGTTCTCTTCCAAATGCTTCAAAATAGTTGCTTGATTCAAATCAACTAATTTTTTGTCTGCGTTCTAAATGAGAGCCTTTAATTCTACTTTGATAAACTTTTTTGTTGTAGTTTTTTTTTGCTGGCCTGATGCCGGCCTTAAAAAGATTGAGATCAGCGAATTATTGCTGACCTTATTTTTCCAAATTCCGAGGGTTGATTCATTTTTAAACCTTGTCTAAAAGAGAGAGGGCTTTGTTAGAAGAACAAGCCAGAATATCACAGCAGTATTCCATACAAGGACAAATAAGTTAATTTTTTACATCCGGTTGATCTAACCTTCAAAGGGAATAAGAATTTACTTCTTTTTACTTGTTTTGAGTTTTTAATACTGTAACTTTTTTTTTTGTGAATGAATTTAATGAAATTAACTTAACTTATACCAAATTTAAAATTAACATGTTTCTTCTCCACAAGTGTTTAACATAACTAACATGTTTCTTCTCCACAAGTGTTTAACATAACTAACATGTTTCTTCTCCACAAGTGTTTAACTATACCAAGACTAAACCTAATTTTACTGATCTTGAATAATATTTTAAAAAATGTAAACATGTAAATGAATGGTTTTAACTAATAAAAAAAATTGATATTAGATTTTCAAACTTAATAAAATAATAATAATCGTGCTAAAATTTTGGGTAAAAAAGTGTGAGAACTTAAGACATTTTAAAAGTAACTTTTATTAAAATTTAAATGAACACCTTGTGAATAAACTTTGTGAAAAAATGAATAACCTTGCTTTGCTTGAATAAATTTGAAAAAAAATGAATTATTATTTTTTTCATAAAACTTGTCAAATTTGAAGAAACAAATATTTGGAATAAGCAAATTAAGAACATACAAAGCACGAATATTAAATATTTTTTACATATATTTATTTTTAGAGTATGTGCGTGTGTATATATATATATATATATATATATATATATATATATATATATATATATATATATATATTGGTTTTTTTAATTTATATAAATTCACATTATATTAAAAGTGTAAGATGTCTTGGTTTATTTCTTGGATATAAATTGTCACATTTAAAATTTTTAGGGAATGTTGATTTCAGAAATTACAGAGCATGATAATTTAACTGAGGATACTGCTGAGAATATCCAAGAAAATGGAGTTAATGAAGGTTTAAATGGTAATCGTAAATTTCGCCCTTCACCGGAATCCATTGCCATGGATCGTGGTATTCAAAACATTGCTCGTAAAGCACATAAAAATAGCAAAGGGGATGATAAAAAGTTAGGTATGTTTTGAATTTTTATTCAATACCAATATTTCAAATTATTAAGCATTGTTTGATAAATTGTATACTTCTATGTTTTAGTTAATATAATACTTTACAATTAAAATTTGTCTTGATTGGGTTTACAGCAATATTTATAATGTTAATAAGATATTCTATTATTATAATATAACAATATAGGATGTGTCATATAATGAAAGAAATTTATTAACATAAATAATATTGCAGTAAAAGATTAATTGTAGGTTTTATAATTGATAGATTAAATCTATCTATTATAAATATTTAGTTCAGGAAAACAGAAAAAAAAACAATTCAGGATAACCTGAACCGCCTATATTTCAAAAAATGTTCGAAATATATATTTATATATATATATATATATATATATATATATATATATATATATATATATATATATATATATATATATATATATATATATATATATATATATGTATATATAGGGTGTAAACTAGCCCTGTGGCGCCCCGTCAAACACAGTTTTCCCAAGCTCATAAAATTAAAATTCCCAATTTAAAGATGAAAAAATCTCATTCTCCAAAAAAATTTTCCAAATTAAAGTTTAATAATAATTCTAAAAATAATTTAAAATTAATTATTATTCAAAACTAATAGAAAAATAACATAAAAAAGTTCTAATTCATTAATTGCGTAAAACATGAAATCAAATGGCCATTATTGGTATAAAAATGCAATTGCATAACTGTGAAAATAGGTTTCTTGGAAAAAACATCATGAAAATTGGGATTTTTGGAGTGATTTTAGGGATTTTGTGGCAACTTTCAATAAAGTTTGAAAATAGTTTTTTTGCAATGCATTCCAACTACAGTAAATATTATATAAAAAAGTTATCAAGAAATAAAGTACTAATCTAAAAGATCCAAAATAATAACAAACTTGTTTGGTTTAACACCTGCAAATCCTATTTCTTTAAAAGTTTGGCCCTTTTTCGCTAAAAAGTTAAATTTATATTTTTCAATCTAATTTCGGCTTCAAAGGTAGGAGTTAAAAGATATAATAAATTTTTATTTGTTTCAATTGTCTTGCTTTGCATTTAAACTTTCCTGAATTAAATGAATTAAACCAGATTAAGTAAAAATAAAATTTGCCATTAAATTATTCCTATATAGAGAATAAACTGTTCAAAACTTATAAAATTGTGTTCATTGGACACAACTATATAAGATCACAAAAATTCTATACAAAACCATTTATTGCATTTTCAAAACATTGCAAATTTTTTTTTCATTTATGAGAAAAAAATTTTAACTTGAATTTAACTAGTTCTCTTAATTAATTTAAAATTCAATATATTTGTTACTATTATTGTTAACTGATGTTGAGTTTCTAATGTTTATTTTGTTAGTTAATGTGACTTAATACCTTTTTTTTCTTCAAATATCTACTGTGTTTTGATTCCAATTTTAAATAACAGGTATACCAAATATGCAAAATAGTTATAAAATAGTGCTTATTCTCTTTGGAGTTTTTTATTTATTTAACTTTTAGTTATTTTCAAAACAATAGAAAAAAAAATCTAATGAAAAAATTTGTCTGAAAATCAGCAAATCAATAAAAAATAGGCAATGTTGGTCCACAATTTTCCTAATTTCAAGGGTTAAGCATCACTAGTTATTATTATATTTACTACAGTTTTTATTAGTTATTATTATATTTACTAGAGTCAAATAACTAATAATATTATTAGTTAGTATTATATTTACTAGAGTTACTTGTTAAATGATGTGTGCACAGTTAGGTCCATTCCTTATTGAAATTCATTGGAGAGCCCACATTTAGGATTTAAAGAAAAAAACAATTTTTTAGTTTAAGATGTTTTCTTTTACAATCTTTTTAAAAAAGTTCTTTAATTGTTTATCCATCTAGCAAATTAAGAGTTTTTAAACTCTATATTAAATAAAATGTGAATTGTGGCCAGATAGTGGTTATAAGTAAAACCCCTGACTTTTTTTTTATATTGCACTGATTTCATATGTTTGATTGATAACATTTATATTTTGTTATGTTTGTAGTTACAAACATAACAATTTTTTAATTACTAGAGTATAATAAATAATTAGAAAAAGGTTATATATTTTTTCTTCCAGTTGATCTATTGGTACATGTTTTTGATAGTTTGGATACGCCTGAGAAAAAAATGGAAGCATTGGCCCGAAAATATGTTCAACTTGTAAATTTGATTTTTATCTATAATAATTGAGTTATGTATTTTAGTTTTTGATAATTATTGATCAATAATTATATATCTATATTTATTTATTTTTTCATAGGCAGCTGACCACAAATCAACTGAACAGCAAGTTGAGGAGATTGAAACAAAGCATTTAAAGGTTGTTTTTTTTTTTTAATAAAAATATGAATTCATGACAAAAAACAGAAATTTAAAACTTCAAAAAATAAAACAACAAAACAGATATTAAAGTTTTAAATTTAAGAAATTCCAAAATAAGTTGTTTTTAAGTTGTAATTTTTAAAAACTTTATTTAAACTAAAAAAATTCTTAAAAAATATAATTTTATATTTTTCTTAGAGTAATATAAAGGGAAAATTATAATTCTAGAAACTACAATTTGAAAAACAAATTAGCCATAAAGTTATTATAAAACATATTAGCTATAAAGTTATTATAAAACATATTAGCTATAAAGTTATTATAAAACATATTAGATATAAAGTTATTATAAAACATATTAGCTATAAAGTTATTATAAAACATATTAGCTATAAAGTTATTATAAAACATATTAGATATAAAGTTATTATAAAACATATTAGCTATAAAGTTATTATAAAACCTATTAGATATAAAGTTATTATAAAACATATTAGCTATAAAGTTATTATAAAACATATTAGCTATAAAGTTATTATAAAACATATGACATATAAAGTTATTATAAAGTTATTTCCTAAGAATCTGTCTGAACAGAATCAAAAATCAATGTTGTCTGTGAAGTAGGTGTTTTTTTTGTTTACGTCGTCAGTTGAAGATTCCATTATTTAGGTGTTAATTAATTAAGCGCACTTGATTTCAGTATTTATGATGGTGAAAAGTTGTATTATTATGCATTCTGCTGCTGGTGTTACTTTTTTAAGTAGCACCATTTTTAGAGACTGTAATGTCTACATACAAAATCATTCTTGTTTTTTACTGTCAAAGTAAAATAAAGAGGTTAGGCGTATAACTATCAAGTTTTTGCCCCTTTTGGTTTATGTTTAAATAAATGTCTAAAATTACTACAAAACTATTATTTTGACTATAATGTGTATAATTAATTAATTATAATTATTTATATATAATATTTAATTATTACAATTAGTTAACTGTCTATTTAATTAAAAAAAATTTTAATTCTCTCAATTTTCTAAAATGTTAGACTTTAATCGGCTGTATTGTTATTAATGTTATTAAAGAGAATTTCCAACGGAAGAGAATTCCCAACAGGAATATAAAAAAGTTGTTTGTTCAAAATTATAAAATGTCAAAATTAAAAGATTAACAGTTTGGAATAAACTTGGTTTAATTTTTTTCAAGATTTAACTAAAAATGAGTGAAATAACTTTATGGGATGCAGATGTTGTTTCAAAAATTTGGACTTTATAGATGCAGATGTTGTTTCAAAAATTTGGATAAAGTCAAAAATAAGTGTGGAATATCTAGAGTTTTTTAAGAAACGATGTTTATGTTCATAATTGAAATACGAGAAACAATCAACAAAAACAAAAATACTATTGAGCTTGGAACACATTGCTGTGCTGCTTGTATTTAAGTGCACTGAGAAAGGAGAATGAGGAAATAAATTCACCGTTTAGTGGGTTTATAGGAGCTCAGTCAGTTGATTTTCAAACAGAGAATCTTGAGTTGCCTGAAAAGTTTGAAACAAATTAAGTGTCGAATTTTCCACCGATTATTAAACAAAATGAACAAAAGTTACTTAAGTCTTTAAAATGTAATCTAGTTGAGATTAAAATATATGCCACATTAATAACTCTTCAAAAAATTTTATATTCTTTTCAGGTATTATTGACGCTTATGTTCAAAAAAAAATTCTTATACTAACTGGATCAAGATGTTATGGAGAGCATTTGAATGAACTTGAAATCCTAAACAATGAAGCTTTAAATCAGCTGGTTGTTAAAAAAGAATGTGAAACTAAATGTACCAGAAGTTCAATATATTTATTAGAGATGTTTCGATATTGCGCTCAGTATACCAGTTTATTTTCAAAGTTTTCTGATATTTCAAAATTACCTAAAACTATTTGCCAACAAACTACTGAATTCTAAAGACATCAATTTGAACTAAGGGGAGGTTTGATTTCACTCAGATACACCAGTAATAGATCTAAATCTCAAGTTCTAGTTGTCTTTCTGTTCTGGCTTTGATCAATACACAATTGCTGATTATTTTTGCATTGACTCTCATTTTGAAGTATTCCGATATTTGCAACAAGTTAGAAACGCTTTTGTCAAAGATTTCATTCCTAATAACTTAAGAGCAGGTCACTTAACAAAAGGTGAATGCAAATAACAGCGAATCGGCCTAAAAAATATTTAAAGCTAAAGAATCTCAGTTGATATTAATTGTTGATGGAACTTACTGTTATATTCAAATTAGCAGCTACAACCATTTTCAATAAAAAATAATCAGCATACAGAAAAAAAAAAACATTTAGCTAAACCTTTTATATTTTTAATTTGGACTTCATGAGGCAACAAAAAATGACACTTCAATTATGAATGATGTACTTTTAGGCAACCAAAACTTTAGAAAAGTGCTTCATCCTGGTGATCAAGGTCTCCTATATACCTGGTCTGCGCTAACTATTGTTTAAAAATCATACGCTAAGGGGTCGATGTAAAACCAGTTCTTAAAATTTTTTAATAACTGGTTTTACATTGAAGTTTTTAGAGAAGGTAAAAACATGAATCTTAAAGCTTTATGACATATTACATTAAATAACTATATAACTATGGTGCGGAGATGCCCTGTTTATGGATGTAAATCTGGGTATGGCACAGATCCTGATCCGAAATCTAAAAGCTACCATACTTTTCCTGCTGAGAGCAATATTTGTGAGCAATGATTGAGGTGAATTAAAAGAGAACATTTGATTTTAGATTTTTGTTAGAATCAGAACAAAGTTCTGATTCTAACAGAAGTCGCAAGCAAATTCGTTCAGAACAAAATTTAGAAAAGTAGGTATTAATACCTGAAGCTGTATCATCAGTGTTTCCATCTTTGCCAAGTTTAGGTATAGTAACACCAGTGCCTTGTTCAACTATTTTTTATTCTTCCACATCCCGTCTAAACAGGGAAAGTAATGTAATAATTAACGATTTAAAACTTTTCCGATCTAAAGATGCTGTTAAATCATTTGAAGAGCTTACTAAAAAGGATGCAAGCAAAATCAGAAATTTCCATCTTGATATTTTTGTTGCTAGTTATGCTGTGAGATATTCTCTTCTTCAGTTAAATGCAACAGGAGTAACTGTCAAATCATCTGTTGCCATATATAAAAATTTGAACTTCAATGTTTACATAAATAACATAGTTACTCCTAAAGAATCTTTTCAATCAGTAAACATAGCAAAAATTTCTAGTTTATCAGATTTAATACATTATTTAATTGAAAAATATACTTTTGGAAGGATATGATTGTACTGAAGAAATTCCTACAAAGCTCAACTTTATATGTGACCAGCTTTTTTATTGGAAAATCCATGCCAAAGTAGAAGATACAACAATAATCTTCTTGTTACTTGTTTGTTGTGGTATGCAAGTAGTAAAAGATGCTACGAGATGATTTTACTTGATAAAATTTTTACATTGCCATCAAGTGCTACTCTCCAAAGGCTATATAATTTAATATCAGTATCTACTGAAATAAATAATTAAAAAAAATTTATCTTGGATAAAAGAATACCGTCTTTGACAAATAATGAACAAATTGTAAATTTAATATTTGATGAAATTTATATTAATCAAGAAGTTGAGTATGCAGATGGAAGGTTTTTGGGTATTGTTGATGAAACAGAGAAGTTAACAACAACCGTTTTAGCATTTTTTTATCACTTCAGTTGCTGGAAATAATATGGATACTGTTTGCCTTTTTCCTCTTTCTACAATAAATGTTCACGCTTTAAAGAAATGTTGGTTTCAGGTCTTGGAAATGCTTAGTATGATTGGATTTCATTTAATAATTACAACAAGTGACATGTCAATCAAAATTTTTTTCATGAATGAGTTGTGTTCAGGAAAATTGACTCCTTTTATTAATCATCTAATATTAAACAACAAGAAACTCTTTATTTCCATTGATCCTACTCACAATTTCAAAAATGCTTTTTAATAATTTTGAAAGTCGTAAAATGTTTCCTATTCCAATATCATGTATACCAAGAGATCAGCTATCGGATAATCAATTGCAAGTTTTAATATCACCTTCTTGTTTAAAATATATCAATGCAGATTTTAATGACATTTTACAGATTTTTCAGTATGAGAGTAAAAACCCCTTAAAAGTTGCCCATCATTTATCCAAACAATGCTTTCAGCCTACAAATCTTCAAAGAACATCAGCAAAGCTATGTTTTAAAATTTTCCGTGAAAAAACTGCAAACTACAAAATCCTACTTGGGATGCTACTCATTATTTAATAGAAAGGTTTGTGGAAGTTCGAAAAGTTGCTTATGAAACCAATTCGAAACCCATTAGACCAAAACTTAATTATTTTGAAAAAATTTGTTGACTTTCTTAATCAATGCAATCGCTTAAAAGTTTCTAATATAGGCTTATCCTATCCAGCTAATTTAGCTTTCATACAAATGTGTAAATGCCTTAAAGAATTTAGTGAGCATATTTTATCCAAAAAGTATGATGTGAGTTATATCCTTTTAGGAAAGCGCTGATCCGATCCTATTGAACAAAGGTTTGGTCATTGGCAGCTGTTTGATAGAAACTATTTAAAAAATTCAAATTAAAAGTCTTTGCAAATATTCAGGAGTATTGACAAAAGATCTTAAAAATATGAAAGATTTATTAAATATAGATATATAGATGCTAACCAGTTGGATAAAGATGATATCATGAAGTTCCAAAATCTAAAATCCAATTTTAATGATAATCGTCCTTATTCACTTATTGAAGATGATACTGTAAATATTGTTTATATTTTTGCAGGTTATTGTTGCCGAAGATTGTTAAAGCTCCATCAGTGCTTAGGTTTCAATAATCTTTTTGTTGATAACAATTTGGAAGCTATTTATTAGACATTTGTTCTGAAGAAAAAGGAAAATTTCAATAAAGGTATATATAAAATGGATAAATGTGAAAGTGTTCAATCGATAGGGAAATTGAAAGTTCTCTCTCTTATTATTAGATCTCGTCATTCTGGTTCTACAAAGTATAAAGTTTATGCGCAATATTTACCTAATACAAATGATGAAATTGTCATGAAGGATGGTACTGTATTTGTAAGTCCGAGAATGAGAATATTAGATTGCTGCGCACATATTGCTAGTGTAATTTATTTTTTAGCATGTGGAAAATACTTGAAGATTCTTCCGAATCCAGCTGGATTACGAACATTCTTTTTTAATAATAGTGTCAAACCAGAAACTTCAATGCTGACACAAATTGAAACTTTGGAAGATGAAGTCAAAAAAGTTCGAAAAGTTTTTTAAAAAGAAGCTAAAAATTAATTTAATTTCTTCTTCTGAGTCATTTGATGATCATTCAAGCATAGATGAAGATAAATCTATTAAGAATACAAAGTGTTCATTGTCTAGTATGTAAGATGTAGTCTAAAGAAATTGAAAGTTAACAAAAAAACAAAATGAAAACTCTTGTTTTTTTAGTAAAATTCCTAAATGAGAAGAAGGAAAGCTTATAAAATCGAATTTTAAAAAGTCTGTGAAACTATTAAACAAATGCACAATTGATTATTTTTTACTTGCACTTTGGACTTCAAGAAGCTGTCTGATCTCAAAGAAAAAATTGCTTCTATAATAGGTTTATTGATTCCAATGCTTGGGATAAAGCAAAAGTGTTTGGCTCTTAGACGTCTGCAAGCTTTGTGTTTCTCAAGACTCTACATTTGGAACTGAAATGAAATATTTCATTAATTTTATTATGCTAATTCAGTCTTTTGAGTCATAAGTAGTTTGCAATACTCAATTGTGCATGTGAAGTTCAACTAGAACTATTAATGATCTCTACTTCTCAAAAGTAGGTGAAGACTTTTTGTTAAATTTATTTGATAACTATTTACTTAAAATACCTTCACCATTTCCAACACATTATTTTCATTTGTTGATCCATTATCCTTTGTAACCCTAATAACAACTCAAGACATTTTTGGATTAACTTTCTGTTCTGTCAGTAAAACCAGGGATTTTTTATGGTACTTTTTTCACTCAGCTTTTGAATTAGTTCTTGTGAACACTCCTATTTTGCTTTCCAAACTGAGCTGAAGCACATCTTTTAAAAGTTGATGTATTGATGTATTACTGATTACTTTTTGGAAGTATCAATTGTATGAGCTTGTAGTTGCATGTCTATGATGTTTAATGATGAGGAAGTTACGCTCACACATCTTTCAGCTTTGACTATAGATTAAACTAGGGCCTTGTTTGTTAGGGTTGTTCTAAATACTCCTAAAGATCATTGTTAAAGTTTCTTCATTTAGTGAGTTAAAGTCAGTATACATATTTTCTTTCAGACAACAATAATCATGATGGTAATTTTTGTTAAATTAAATTGTTGAGTTAAAGTCTAAAACTGTATCAAACCTGTGTTATACCAGCTGTATCACTTTCTGTTAACAGTTGTATCACTTCCTGTTAACAGTTGTATCACTTCCTGTTAACAGTTGTATCACTTCCTGTTAACAGTTGTATCACTTCCTGTTAACAGCTGTATCACTTCCTGTTAACAGTTGTATCACTTCCTGTTAACAGTTGTATCACTTCCTATTAACAGTTGTATCACTTCCTGTTAACAGTTGTATCACTTCCTGTTAACAGTTGTATCACTTCCTGTTAACAGTTGTATCACTTCCTGTTAACAGTTGTATCACTTTGTGTTAAGTCTTAAGCTAATTAGTCGTGTTAAGCTAATTTGATTTGTAATTCCGAGTTATGAGAGTATTTGACAGACAAATAGGTCTGCTGTAAAAAAACCAGTGATACCTTTAACAATGTTGAAAGGATAAATTATTGCACATGTTAAGCCATGTGTAATAATTTATCTTTCTAAAATATATAAAACATAAGTAAAAAAGTATGAATATAAAAATATCTCTGTAACTGAAAAGCACAGAAAAAAGAAATCAATGATATGATATAGAAATCAATAGATATGACCAATGAGAAAATCAAAGGCTTTTGGGGCTAGTTTATTTGTAGTGTCATAAAGTTTGTCTATCTGTAATGTCATAGAGTTTAGAGCAAAGAAATCAAACCTTTTTATATTTAAAGATAAAAGGCGTTTGCGTCTTTTTTTCTATTATTTGTTTTACTATTTTTATACTATTTTTGTGTAAAAGTATACAGTCTACAGTCAATTAATGATATACATTTATTTGATAAAGTTTTGTAATTTAAACAATTTTAATAAACATAGAAATATTTTTATGATTGAATAGGTGAAAAAAGAAAGAGATCATTTACAATCAGAGTACAATAAACTCATGATCGCAAAAGGAAAACTTGAAAGTTTATGCAGAGAATTACAAAAACATAACAAGCAAATAAAAGAGGAGACACAGCGTCGTGCTGAAGAAGAAGAACGAAAGCGAAAAGAACTTTCTCAAAAATTTCAATCAACTATAAGTGATATCACATCACAGATGGCTGATAATCATAAACGAAACCAACAGTTAAAGCAAGATAATAACGAGTGAGTAAATTTATAAAACGCATCTCATCTGATTAAGTAAGTTTTGTTTAAATAGTATAAACTGTTTTGATTCTATTTGTGTGTAGGTATGCATATATATATATACATATATATATATATATACATATATATATATATATACATATATATATATATATATATATATATATATATATATATATATATATATATATATATATATATATATATATATATATATATATATATATATATATATATATATATATATATATATATATATATATATATATATATATATATATATATATATATATATATATATATATATATATATATATGATTGTTTATCATGATGTTTATGAAATGTCTAGAAAGACAAAGGTTGTTAAGAACAAATAGTTACAGTTATAATATCAGCTTTTGATCAAACACAAAATTAAATTAGTTATATTATTGAAAAACTGTATTCAGAAATATTTATTGGCAAAAAACTATAAAAAAAATTAAGGATCTTACTGTGACTAAAAGATTTCCAGATCTTTGATTTCCAACATTTTATCTGTTACAAAAAAGCATTTCTAACTCATTTCAATTTGTATTTATATTCTTGAAAGCAATTAATTTCTTTTATAATTGTTAATGTTATCATGTTATCAGCTTAGCTCAAAAACTGAAAGGGTTGGTTGAACAATATGAAGTAAGAGAACAGGTTAGTTTAAATAGTTGGTAATTTTTGATTTGTTTTAATTGTTCATAATTTTAATCAATTGTCAATACTTTCAGCATATAGAAAAAGTGTTAAAAGCCAAGCAATTAGAGCTGCAATTGTGTGAAGCAAAGTTGCAGCAACAAAATCTTGTAGTGCAAGAAGAAATGGAGAGCCATCTTAAAGAAAAGCACAGTGTGAGGTTTTTTTCCTTATTTGTTATATTTTATATATTTATGTTGTTTTTTTTTTAGCATAATGCTGTTTCTTCTTCAGGTTTTAGAAGAATCTTTGAATTATAAAAAAAAATGCGAAGAACTTCTTCAACAAGAAGCTGAACTACGTGCTCAAGTAAATTTTTTTAAATCATATAAAAGTAAGATGGTGATAATGTTTTAAAATTATATAAAAGTAAGATGGTGGTTTAATAATTTAAATTTTAATTCAAATGAATAAAAAATTGTAGATGTTGTAAATGCTAGTTTTTTATATACCAAATGAATAGTTGGCATGTAAAGTTGATGGCTAGATTTGATTTTTTGTTGTCGTGAGTTGATGGCTAGATATGTTTTTTTGTTGCCATGAATTGATGGCTAGATATGTTTTTTGTTCAGTTGCTGTGAGTTAGTATGAGCTCATTGAGAAGGAAAAGTTGAAAAACTACAAAAATATGAGAAAGGTGGTTAAGTTATTAAACTTAATTAATGGTAAAAATTCTTTGTTGTTCGATCGGATGAATTAGTGGTGTTTTAACAGCAGAAATAAATGATAATGTATATAATTGACGGAGTATATAATCGATGGTGTAAATGATTGATGATGTATATCATATCATCATAATGATTGTGTATATAATTGATGGTGTATATGATTGATGGTGTATATCATATCATCATATTGATGGTGTAAATGATTGACGGTGTATATCATATCATCATATTGATGGTGTAAATGATTGATGGTGTATATCATATCATTATATTGATGGTGTATATGACTGATGGTGTATATGATAATATGGATGATGGTGTAGTTGAGGTAAGGAATAGTTGAGGTCAAAGAGTTTCAACAATATAGAAAATGTTCTAGAATTTAGGAATGAATTTTATTAAAGGATTTAGCATTACTGAAAATAAGATGGTATTGAAATCTCTGTATTTTTGTGCACATTTTCTTTCTCATGAAGTTAAAATCTGCAATGATTTATGTAAAATTTAGAATGACTAGATGTAAAATTTTGAATGAACTTGTATGATGAAAGTGGTGATGTGTTTTATCATAAAGATATTGTATAAAGTTGTCTGAGTGATGACAACTTTATTTACAAATTGAGGTTAGTAAGAAAGTAAGGTTAATGCACATCAGAGTATAATATTAATTTATCTTGCCTCTTCTTCAATTACTTTCTCGTAAAGCCTTTCTATAGAACTCAGTATTATCAGTATTTTTATGAATATTTATAGTTAATTGTGGCAATATAAGTGGGCTAGTCAAAAGAATGGCATGGAAGCTAAAGAGATCAAAGTGAATATGTTGGAGACAAACACGTTTTGTAAAAATAAAATTGAACAAGGTAAGGGAAAGTTCTAGAAAGAAACCATGTAAAGTCTGGTAAAAAGAACTTGAGGTGAACTGAATAATTTGTATTGAAATTTCTACAAAGAAAAAAATGTAAGAAATAATTAAGAGAACAGTTTTCAATTTTCAGAGATGAATAAAGCTGATAGGAAATAATCTGTTTACACGATGGTGATGTGGTGATTCATGGTAATGTGTTGTTAGTAAATCATGATCATGAGTTTGTAAATCATGGTGTTTTATAATTTAGTTTAAATATCGTTTAGTGTTATAAATGAGCTTTTTGATGATTAAATGTTATCCTAAAAAAGTTATTAAAAAATAGAATGATTTGATGTAGAAATAATGTAATAGGTTTGATTTGTTATTTGAAATATTAAGTATTTTATATATATTTATATATATATATATATATATATATATATATATATATTAATTTTTATTATTCAGTTTGCAATTGTTAAATCGTTTTGTAATCTTTGTATTCTGAAAAAAAAAAATTTTATTAACACCAATTTTTTTATTAAAACCAATTTTTTATTAGCTCTCTTTGTATACTGAAAAGTTCGAAGAGTTCCAATCAACGTTAACAAAAAGCAACGAAGTTTTTGCTACATTTAAAAAGGATATGGATACTGTAATTAATGTTTTTAACTTTCTTTTATTGCGTAACGTATAAGTAATGTAAATATTGAAAAAGTATAACTTAAGTTAGTTTAACCAATTTTTTTTTATTTACTATTAATCGCTTTTTCAAGTTAATTAATTTTAGTTTTTTGCTTTTATAAACTTTTTGTTTGAGAAAAAATGGCGATTAATGCAATTAATGTAGCGATTAATGCAATTAATTAATAGCGATTAATGAATTTTGATTTTACTTGAAAAGATTTAGAAATTTGATAAGAACTTTTTTTTGGGGTGTTTAGATGACAAAAACGATTCGCAAGCTTGAAAAAGAATCAAATATGTGGAGAAGTCGATGGGAGAACACAAACCATTCCCTCCTACAGATGGTAGAGGAAGTACGTGTTTTAACTACTTAACTCGTGACTTTTTTTTTTTTTTAATTAATAAAAAAAATTTAATTCCTTTAACAGCGTACTCAAAATCATACTACAATAACGAAAATGAAATCAAAGATGGAAAAATTAGAAAAATTATGTAGAGCACTTCAGTCTGAAAGAAAGACTTTAAGTAAGCAGCTCGAGAATGGAAAGGTATACTGTTTGTAAATTGTTACATCTTCAGTTTTTTAATTACATACTTCTTTTAAAATGATGCACAAAATTTACGTAGTAAAAAACCGTTTTTCTGTTGTTTTTTTTTAAATTATTTTTTGTTGTATGTCTTAGGATGAAACCGAGGCTTCCTCCTCGCCTGAACCTACGTTAGACATAAGCGATCCTCATGTCAGCAGTACTACTCCGTCACCTGATTTACTGCAACAGAAAACTAATAGTGTTGATGCCATCGAAACAGGAAAACAATTATACAACGAGTCTACTTGCCATGAGCCTACAATTGACGAAAATCAACCGGAAAATAATGATAAAGCTGTTTTAAAATGATTAGTGCATTAGCCGAAAAAGTGAATATTTTAACGAGTTTGCAATGTAAAATTTATTTGTATAAAACCAGCGATTTTTTTTAGCATAAATAGTTATTATTTTGTTTTTTCAATATTTCTTTCAAGAGATATTTAATCATGTAAGTCACGTAAGATTGATTTGACATTGGTTTATACCCGAGGGAATAATTTGATTTAAAATCTGTTTGTTCTTCTGTGATGAAAGAAGCAGTGAACATTTTCATCAAATTTGAAAAATAGTTACCTGATCGTGTCATGCACAATAAGAGGTCATCTCTATAGTACATACGGAATAGATTTTTTCTTCTTACGTGAGGAAAGAATCTATTGTCTATCATCAAATCTTTCTATGCAAACTCACTTTGTAAGTTTACATAGAAGGATTTGATGATAGACTGGATTTGATGATAGACAAATCATTAAATACTCTTGTTTTCATCAAATACTTTAAATATATCGCTTTATATGTAATTAAATATAAAAGTAAAAATAAAAAGAATTGAGATTAGTTTATTGTTTTAACATCAGAAGAATTGTCATCATCGCCTGATTTTAAAATTGGAACAGCCTTCGGAATTTTTAGATTTTCTTGAAAAAAAATCTTGCTTTAGAAGTAAGCTAATTAATTTTCAAAATGGCTGATAAATGAGACGTTAATTGTCAATGTATTGGCAATTCATCAACAGTGTCAAAGCGACTTTTTATCAAGTAACACTTTTTTTCAACATTCCTAAATTAACACTTTATCAACGTTGGCAAAATGGAGGTTATTGCAACATTGAATAAACGTGATTTTATAAGGAGCTAAATTAGGTTTAAATTTAAACACTTATTCGACGTTGAAAAAGTGGTTTACCTTTAACATTTAAAAATCGCCAACTTTGCAACGTTATTTGTCGTTAAGTGTCGTTTTTGCGTTCGTTTATTTAGGGTTAAATAAATTAAGTTTTTAAAGAGGCGACAATATGTTTAATTTTAAATACTTGTCCAACGTTAAAAAAGCGGTTAACCTTTAAAGTTGAAATAGCACAAACATTGCTATGTTATTAAAGTGCCTTTTTTCTCAACGTTAAACGAGTTATTGTTTGGAAGATTTACGGCACTTTTTAAATGTTTATTCAACGTTTCAATTTATCACGATGTAAATAACAAAAAATACCCCGTCAATTTAACGTTGAAACCATTTTGTTCTTAAGATTGTAACGCTTTTTCTATGCTGCGACACTCAATCAACGTAGCTTCAACGTTAGCATGATTACTGGTATGAAAGCATTGTTTATTAAATACTTTGCAATTAATTATTTTCGCTTATGTATCATCATACTTGTTTCATAGTCATCTTATTTGTTGCATGTAATTGGATAAAAATAGAGTGTTCAGAAATGCTTAAAACTTCGTGTCCTTTTTTTATATTTATGATTTCATTTGTCATAATTTGATCTTATTGTATTTGTTATAATTTGATCTTATAATTTGATGTTGCATTTTCCTTATTTTATTGCATTGGTTTATGGATTATGAAAGTACAATTATTTTTTAGATAATGTTAAAAACATTTTTAATGTAAAAACCAGGGCTGATGAGTCGGAGTCGTAGAGTCGGAGTTGCCATATTTGTAGCGGAGTCGGATTCGCTAAACAAAATTGTGACTCCGACTCAAATAGTAAATCTTCTGGATATTGCACGTACATAAACAAAATATTTAACCTTCAATGAGTTTTTCATATATTTGGCTAAAACAATTTTTAAATTTTTTTAAAGAATTCAAGGAATTTTTCAAAAATTTGTATAAAAATTCTTCAAAATTGGAGTTAGAGTTGGAGTCGGAGACGTACTCTGAAAATTTCAACAATAGGAGTCGGAGTTGGTACTTTTTTTATACGACTCCACACCCCCGATAAAAACATTAAATAATTTTAGCCATAAATAGTAATAATAAATATTGAAAAGAATACAACAAAAGTTTTAAAATATTGAGATCAACTTCATCGAAATTATAAACCGCAGATGATGGTCTGTATAAAACGTGGATATTTCTGATGTTTCTGTCTGTATAAAGCATGGATGTTTCTGTCTGTATAAAGCATGGATGTTTCTGTCTGTATAAAGCATGGATGTTTCTGTCTGTATAAAGCATGGATGTTTCTGTCTGTATAAAGCATGGATGTTTCTGTCTGTATAAAGCATGGATGTTTCTGTCTGTATAAAGCATGGATGTTTCTGTCTGTATAAAGCATGGATGTTTCTGTCTGTATAAAGCATGGATGTTTCTGTCTGTATAAAGCATGGATGTTTCATTCAATTTGTTTTCTGAAGTTTTGTTAAAGAATAAAAATCTGATTTAAGTTTGTGTAATTTTGAGTTTTTTATTCAAGGTAACGTGTGGTAACACTGACATATGGGCCGTCCCGAATCGGTGGTGTAGAGGGTGTTCTGATGATGAAAGAACAATAACAAATGAGAAAAAAGATATTGCAGACAGTTTTAATACTTCTTAGAAAGCCAATTCACTTCTTAGAAATTCACTTCTTAGAAAGTGTTTATTAATTAAATATTTATAATATTCCAAATAATAGTAAAACTACAATTTCAAATCAAACATTTAAAAGTATCTTAAAAAAAGTTACTTGATTATGACGTATCTCAAATTCTATTTTATTTTTAATTTTTATTTTTTTATTGATTTAAACATCAGAAGAATTGTCAATTTATTTTTCAACTTTTCCTTTTGTTAAAAAGCGATATCATCTTTTACATCATAACTTATTTTGAAATTTTATAATTTTTTTTTTATTTTAAGTTGTATTGTATTCAAAAAAACAAAAAATAAAAAATAAAAAAAATGTAACACTTTTTATTTAACATTATTTTACTGTGATTATGATATTTTTTTTATATGATAGAATTATTTGTTTAATATGTAAATGATGCAACGGGGCTGGGTGATAAGACTTTTGTCTTTTGCCTGCTCCCATCACATTTTTACTAAAATATTGTATATAATTTATTATGAAAATGACGAAATATATATCAAAAAAAAAAAAAATGTCTTATTAAAATATACATAAATAATGCGCAGTTTCACAATTGTTCATTCAAATCTGCTGAACCATTTAATTACCATTTTATCTACATACATTAGTTCAGATAATTTGATTTATTTTAATTCAGTTTTTTAACCTGCCAATTTATTAATGTTACTCAATGCATGTATCCATGAAAACAACTGTTCATTAGAAGTTATGTAACAGTGTTAAATGAACTTGGAATAAGTATTTTGAATCTAGTTATAAAGTCACTCGTATAAGTACTTGTTTACCCAAACAATAATAATACAGAATGAACCATAAACTACCACAAAAAATGTTTCAAAGTTAAAAGTCGATAAACTTGTTATAAAACAAAAAACTGTTGTTGTTTTTGGTGATCATTTAAGCAAAGTAAACTGTAAACAGTAGATAACAGTAGATAAAAGTAGATAATGTCTTTACTTTAAAACAAATTTGCTGCAGTTATTTAGAAACCACAATGCACTATTAAATTGAAATGATGTATATGCAACATATGTTAAATTAAGCTCACAATTTGGGAAACATCCGTTAATGTATATACTGGATGTAATAAGAAAAGAAAAAAAACTTTCAAGTTATTTAAAATGTACAAAACTTAAAATTCACAGTTGATAAAGTTCATGAAACTAATGGTTAATATGGTCAGCTAGTTCAACATTATCAGATGCAACTGACATAATAGGAAGCTGGCTATCCTGAGGTCTGTTTTTAATACAGAGTATTTTGCAAATTTTTAAATTTGAACCAAATTTAATTAGTCAATTTTTTTAACTTGCTTTTGTGGTTTGGTCTGTTTTTGTTTTTTTTCATCTATTGCTTGAGTATTATGTGGTGTGCTGATTATAGCAGTTAACCGTATTGTTTCATCTGACACATGCTGGTTTTGCTCTTTTTTGCTTTGGAGGTTAGTGATGAAGTTGACTTCGTAAAACTTTGGAGGTGTTGCTGAAATTGACTTCAGAAAACTTTTAGGCATTCTGAGAATATTTGTCAGGATCAGTTTCATTTGCTTATAATTTATTAGTACTAAAATTACAGTTAAATGGATAAATGTCACATGCTTTAAATGCGCTAATTTCATTTGTTTTCAAAATGCTGCTAGTGTGCAAGCAAGTACATCAACTCCATACTGTTTTGTTGAGCTAAGTAAACCACTTCAGTCAAAATGTGTGAGCTGAACTTTACACATTTTGGCAATAAACATTTTTTCAAAATACTTAACACATTATTCTCCATCCATCCAGCCTGGAGGTGAACAATTGCAAATTGTATTTTATACAATTTTTACAGATTTTTCAAGATTACCTACATGGGCAGGAAGTTACTGACAGCAGAAAAGCAAACTTAAACGGTATGCATGGTCTTTTTTTTCATTTTCATGGTCTTGTTTTTCTATTTGTTTTTTCTGTAATTTGTTTTGTCACTATATTAATACATTTATAAATATTTTCTATCTATCACTATATTCTATCACTATATTAATGTATTTATAAACAAGTTAAAAATTAAAATAATGACAGGAGCAAGTAAAGCCGAAGTCATAAGTCAAGCCTCTGTCATTTTCAACTTACAAGCAGTTTTCACGCGATTTAAATTTATTTTTTCTATTTTATTAAAATTTATAATCAAAAAACAAAAACAATCAAATTTAAAAAAAGTTTTAACTTTATAATCTAACCTCTTGAATATCGATTCTCCTGTGATCTTGTAAATTAAAACAAATCCATATACGTAACAATCTTGTAAATTAAAACTCTTTAAGGATTAAGGTTTATAGTCGCCGTGCTCGGGATAAGATAGAAAAGTTAACATTTTTTAGTGAAATCTTCGGGATTTTTAATTTGTGAAAAGAGCAATTTGATGGATATTTGTGATTTATGATGGAAGGTTGATTTTCAATGTCGTACAATACTTCTTGTTTCCAATTATTTAAGTAACTGCTGAACCATTATTGCTGAACCATTTAAGATTATTGTTTGTTACGCCATATATCTCTAGCTTTTGTTAGAAGGTCAGGTCAACAGTATCGAATGCTTTGGTTAAATCAATAAACAAGGCTAAAGTATAAATCTTGTTTTCAAAACCATTCAAAAATTTATTAACTAAATCAATTATTGCATGACATTTTAAGTGACTCTTACGAAAACCAAACTCTTTGCTATATAGATTTTTATTTATTTTAAGATAATATAGTACATGATACGTTCAAGTAACTTTAAAAAGCAAGATAGTTTTGATATAGGCCTTTAGTTGGATGCTGAAAAATCGTGTCCATTTTATCAAATTAGAAATGCTCTTGCTATTTTCAATTGATCAGGAAAAAAAACAGTTTTTAGGAATAAATTGAATCTTGTTAAAAGAGACGGTTCAATAATATTGGCTGGTAATTGCTTAACAACATTTTTTCATTTCTTTTCAAAACCAATCATTTAGTCAATGGCAGGTTTTCCGCTGTTAAACATATGCTTGAGCTGAATAACCAATTTGCTAGACATTGTCTTTTTGTTTGTGTGTTTTTGACATTTTTGTATTCCTGTAAGTTACATATAACAGACATCAGTAAAATTAAGTAGTGTTCACAACAATTAGTCATTCCTTGTTTATAATTTCAGAATAAATTCTTTATAAATAAATAAATAAATTCTTACTTTTATATACATTTAAGATAACTATTACTGTATTTTATATTTTTATATATTTTATAGTTCAATTTTTAATTTTTTTAGGGTTGTATAACTTTATTCAAACCATTTTGATTTAAGTAAAGTTATATAAACCAAACTAGGTACAATTAATCGAATAATCTAAGTATGAAATTATATATTAAATAAATTTAAGTGGTTAACAAATTTTAAAAAGTATGAGTAACTTAATCACTTTGGTTACAATTTGTCGATGCTGTAAGGCACGGGTATGTATTTTAAAATAAAAGTCAGTATGGCATGTGTAATATTGCATAATTATGCAATAACAGCAGTACATAGATTCTTATCATTGTAAAAAAGTAAAAATTGTTTGTTTAATCAAAAACCTATCAAGGACGCATTAACACATGTATTTCATATTACTAGGTCTTTGTTTGGCTATTTGGCTGCTCTTTTTTTTTTTAATACCGGTGTGGGAGAGAGAAATTGATGTGTTCGTATTATTTGTTCAGTTATTCCGATCCTTATTTTCAAAAAATTGTGTGTAAATTTGATTCAAAAAAATTAAAACAAAATAAAGTTAAAACAAAAAAAAACAAAAAAATGAAAAACTATTTCTAACAATAAAGTGATTATTCGAAACAATAAAACGAAACTAATATGAAATAAATAATTTATTAAAAAATACGAGAGCAGATTGTAAAACAGAGTAAAAAGGAAATCTAAACCAGACGTCGAAATAAAAAGTACCCAAAATGAAAAACCGGAGTGTATTAAAAGTTGTAAATAGTTTAAAAAAGGTTAGCAAATTTAAAAAAAATTACTTTTATATCTTCTCTGTTTTTTATTTTTGTATTTTTAACTTTCTTTGCATTACTTTTGTTTTTAAAATTCTCAGAATGAAAATCTAACCACTAAAATATTTTCCGTGCTTTAAAGAAGCTAATAAAGTAAACTATTTTCTGGTAAGATAAGTTGAACAAAATTTTTTTCAAATAATTATTTCTGTTATCAAAACAATGAAAGTTTTTTTCTTGCTTTTAATGATTGTTTCGTTTCAGAACAAATTTCACTACAAGTGGTAGTTTAAAGTTATAGATGAAAAAATCTTAATAGATAAATTTAGTTACGTGCTTCGATTTTGTGCTATATTTTTAGAACTTAAAACTTTAAGATCAATCGGTGTTGGTTCTTAAAGAAAAGCTGGCTTATAAATGCGAAATAGACCCTGGGTAAACGTATACGTACGACCTATTTCATACATATTTCTTTTTTTGACTTTGGCAGTGACATTTATTGCATTTTGTACACCGTACTGGTATTCTGAAAAGCAAGAGAACGGCGAGAGATACTTTGGAGTATGGACTATCTGCATGGATGCGTCTATAAAAAATTGTACTTTTTTACCAAACCATTCGCGAAGTGCAAATAGCGATTGTGAGTGCTGATTTTTTATCTTATTGTTTCTTTTGATAATTGATTTTTTAGTATTATTAATTCGTTTTAATATTAAGCTCGTTTGACGGCAATTCGGGCATTGTTTTCAATGTCAATAATGCACTTAGTGGGAGCAATTGGGTATCCTCCTTTTTTTAAACAGATGTCTAATGGAATCTTAAATATTGGCTTTATGGCTTTACTTTCATTAGTATCAGGTATGTGTTTAAAGGTGCGTTCTATCAAGTAAAGTTAAATTGTGTTCTTTTAAGTAATGGTGTTCTATCGAAAAAAGTTAAAATATGTTTTATTGTTAAAATGTGTCCTATTGAGTAAGTTTTTTCAAATTAGTTTAGTTAGATTCATTCATATAATTAAGCAATAAATATTTAAAAATAAGTAATAAAGAATCATACATAACCTATCATAAAATCATAAAACAAGTTTATATAATAAGAAGACTGGTGCCGCAAGTAAGGATTTTTTGTTTCAGTTTCCTTATAATAAAAATAAATTTATGCAAAAAGTTTAAAAAACTTTTTAACAACTTTATTGTTTTCCTTGAAGCAGCTTTTTTTCATTTTTGTTAAAGAATAAAACGTTTGTTCGTGTTTTAGGATTATTCTCTCTTGCATCAATGGCAATAATGACGTATGAAATTAGTTGTTACAAGTTTCTTTCGTATGGTTACTCCTACTTTTTGGGATGGATTGGAACTAGCCTATCTTTTGTTGCTGCAAGTCTTGTATATGTTGCTTCTAAAGATAACAGCTATTCAGAAATTGCTTATTAATCAATTTTTTTAGTATATAATCAAACACCATCTGATTATATATAAAAAAAAGCAAAAGCAGAAATTATTTAATTATAAGATTGTTTATTTTTAAGAATAATTGTTAATAACACTTCTATAAAATAAATACTGTTAATGTTAAATACTGTTAATAAATTACTGTTTTAATTGTTTCTTTTTCTTATTGATTAAAAGATAATCATGTCCTGTGTCTAAATCAATGAAGTTTTGCCCATAAGTAATGAGATGGGTTTTATTCTGATTAATTTTCAATAAAAGTCACCCACAACACGAAATTTTTAAAATGATATCTAAGTAAAACTTCCAGACAGTAGCATAATGACTTTTTGAAGCCTAGAATTTTCTTGAGCCATGTAGAACTTTCTAAAGTTACCATTAAAATAGTCAACACAAAAATAAGTTAATTAAATGATAATTTAATAAAAGAAAAGAAAATTTTTTCTTTTGATCAAGTTTTAAAAACTTTTTTTTCTTTGTTTGAAACCTAAATGAACTTCAGGATTTCAGCATAAATTTATATTTCTTTTGACAGTCATTCCATAATTTAGGTCCTCGATAAGATATACAAAATTCTGAGAGTTGATTACATCTCCGGAGCAATTTATAGTTGATGTTTCTATTTGATCTTAGATTATACTTTTCATTTAGATTTATTTCAAACTTATGGCAAAATGGTTGTTGGCTAACTAACTTTAAATTAACTTGCTGGCAAAACGGTTGTTGTAGTATCTACACATAAAAATTAGATTCTGATAGATATATGTTTATGAAAATGATGGATATATTTATCCATCGTTTTCATATCTTTTGCATAAGGTTTTGCATGATCTCGTTTATTCTCAAAGTATATGATACGGAAAGCGTGTTTTTGTAGCTGATAAATTTTTTGAAGTTTTGTTGATTACGGATTTCCCCATTTATTAATTCATGTCTGTGGAAAACATGCAAAATATTTGTAAAAAAAAGAAAATACGATCCATTGAATGACATCACAAAAAAATTGACATCACAAAAAAAGATGGTAAATAGCTCTTCAGTGAGGACAAAATATTGTATCATCTTCAGATTGAAAGCAAAGGACAGGTTGGGTATACAACTGGGAAGACTGCTTATTCAAAAACTATTCATCCATCCAAAAGAAAATGTCCATAAATTCTACTTCAACAAAAGTAACGACAACAACAACAACGTCAATTTCCAAATCTGAGTCTGAGGATTCGAAAAAACAGTCCAAAAGTATCAGCAAGAACTACATTAAAATCAAAATTGCAACCAAAAAAGTAACATTTCAAAGTTATCAACTTGCAAAGCAGCAACCATTTGTCAACAGTAATCTCAAAATGGGATCAACGTTCAGACATTTTCATAGCCTAATATTTTCAGATCAACTATTTAAGAAGCTGTTAAACTTAAAAAAGAAATAAAAAAACACTACATTTAGAAAGTTAACGTCACCAAAAATGAAGAAGGGTTGAAGAATATCAAGTGTTTGAAGAATAAAAAAGAAAAGTTAAGTTACAAGCCCTACAAACGGAGATCTACAAACGGAAGCAGAATAGTTGTTAAAAGTATAACAGCTATTCTCTATGATTATAATTTATGGAAGAGTATAAAGATGGTTGTAGCGGATACTAAGAATTTAAACACTGTAAGAAAGAATCGATTGTCAGTCAGTTACAAAGATATTTTAATGAAAAACAGTTGGAAGAACAACAATTCATTGGATGTCAATACCATGTTCTTGACCAAGTCCTCTGTAACAATATGTTGACCAATATCGAATATTCATTTATACTGGAAATCGTAAAGAATTACGAATAGCTCATAAAGAATTTCGAAGAAGCATCGAAAGCATCGAAAAGAAGCATCTAGAATCTTCCAGAACAGGTTCACACAGGTTCAATTTACTATATAAGAGACATGTAAATTGACATGTAATCCAGTCAGTATATGGAAGTCAATCAGTCAGTAATCGAAGTGATTTATCGAAGAACATCAATACAACAAGTGAAATACAACAAGTGTTTCATTACATCAATACAGTCCACATCCAACCAAGACGTTGTGTTCCACAGAGCATTATTGTATCATCACCAGGTAAATGTAACACGGTAAGCCTTAAGAAGCGTGATTGTTTATTTTTATTATTTTTATGACTTCAAGTGCAAAAATGGCTCCGGACAGTCTTGGATTGGAACTAAGAAAGAAAATTATTGGCGATTACGTAAGTGGAATGTCACAAAAAAGTATTTGTGATAAATACCGCGTGAAATATCTATGTTCCAAATATCGTTCTACGGGGAAGTTGACAGCAGATAACAAAGGTGAAAGACCGCGTTCCACCACTTCTAGAGAGGATTCTATGATTGTCAGATCCATAAAGAAGGATCACTGGATATTATCAGTCGAGATACAAAAGCAATTAGAGCTGCCTGTATCGAAACGAACAATCAGACAACGTGTTTTTGAAGCCGGATTGTTTTCTCGACGCCCTTCAAAGAAACCGCTGATTTCACTAAAGAATCAGAAGAAAAGACTCCTGTTTGCTACATCTCATATTGACTGGAATGTGCAGAAATGGCAAACTGTCCTGTTCAGTGATGAATTGAAGTTTCAGCATCATTTGGAGCGATGGCATTTGCCGTGTACGTTGACCGGCCGGAAAACACCTCGATTTATGTTCCTGCCATAAGATCGTGAAGCACGGTGGAGGCAATGTAATGGTCTGGGGGTGTTTTTCTGCTAACGGTCAAGGTCCAATACATCGAATTGCTGGAATAATGGACCGTTTCATGTATAAAAATACCCTGAAAGATGTTATGTTACCTCATGCAGAATAGAATATGCCAATAAAATAGGTTTTTCAGCAAGACAAAAATCCGAAAAAGACAACGATCCTGCAAAAGTAGTCAAGCAGTGGTTTCAAGACAGCCACCTATCGGTAATGGATTGGCCGCCTCAATCTCCGGATCTTAACTCTATTGAAAACCTGTGGGAGATTGTTAACCGCAGAATTAATTGTGAAGGCGTTTGTAAAAAGGATCAACTGTTTGAACAAATCCAAAAGGCCTGGGCAGCGATTCCACAAAGTTTCATTGATCACCTGAACCAATCTATGCCAAAAAGTTTAGAAATAGCCGTAAAGGGTGGAGTTCTTCGACGTATTTGCATCGAAGAAAATAAAATACGTTCGCGATGTATTTACATGTGTTGGCCCAACGTTAGTAAGTTAGCTGGGTTCTTTGTCTTTTATATTATTTATGGTTAATAATCTAGAATTTGTACCCTTGTTTAAACATTTGAAAGCATTCCAAAAGTTTTTTGGCTCACTATCTTTAAAGCTTTTCAATTTTAACATACTGTTTGTAATTTTTATTATTTTGAGCCATCTTGACGGTTTTGCGAAAATTTTTAAGTGAATCTTATTAAGATTCATTAAAAATTTTTTGCAAGTTGCATCAAAGTAATAAAATTTAAAAGCAGCAAAATTAAAATTTAAAAAATAATATAATGGTATTATCGTTCTCTTCGTAACTATTAAGTAGTATCAATAAGTATTAATATTGACTTTAGTCTTCCTCACTTCCAGTGAGGAGAGGTTGTTCCGCAATGAGGAGAGGTATATTCTAACTATAATATCAAATTTATTTTTTTCAAAATTTATTGCCAATATAATATATTGATCATATATGATCATATTATGATCATCCTCGTAGATTATTCGAATATTCTGAAACAAATTTTTGTACAAAGAACTCATTTCCACCAAATGGTCGACCTTTTTACCATACGCTTACCATATAAATTTTTAGGTGGTTCTTATAGAAAAAACCTAAATCTTTCATTAAGCTTATTATGCTGTATTATTTTGGTTTTTTATATTTAATACACCAAAACTAAATCTTTTGTTAAAAAAAAAGGCAATGTCCTTCTTTAACACATCATTTACCTAAATTTGATGCAATTTAAGTTTACCTTCTAAACCAAATAACTTAGGAACTGTTTAACAAAAAAATTTCAAATTTGGTCTTAATATTTATTGTTAATAAGTTAAAAACATTCACTATAACACTAAAATTATTAAAATACCTTTAATCAATATTTATTAAATGTTCTTATTGTAACGACAATAGTTTTTAGATCATAAATGAGGGGGTTACGTCCAGTCTTTTTTATTTAATTTCTAAAAAAACATTATTTGAATCTTGATTTTGGTAAATGACATAGGTATAAATTAACTGAACATTAAGTAAAAATTTACGAGCTATAGCACAATCATTTTATGAAATATATTGTTTGAAGTTGAAGCAAAAGGCAGAAAAACTTTGAAAAAAAAAGCAAAACAAAAAAAAATATTCATAAAAAGTATAATTTAAAGTTTAAAATTTAAATTTACATTAAAAAAAACAACAGAATTTTTAAATACAAATAAAATTAAAGATTTATAGATGAATTTGTGAGTTCCAAATTGATATAATCGAGAATATAGATTTTCAGATTATTTTCGATAAAAAGCATGAAATTAATGAAATTCAACTTAAATCGTCAAATCGTCAAGTGCGTTTATTGAAAACTCGAGAAAATTTTGAATTATTTTGTCAGTTATTAAGTCAAAAGCTGACAAATTTTATTAATGCTTTTATTCTTTTTACAAAGCAAAATTTTTTTTTATATTTTCAAAGTTGCATGAGTTTTAGAGGAAAATATTTATAATTTTTTTGAAACTATTCAAAAAAATAATAAAAAAGAAGCTCCGAAACATGTTTAGCTAAAGATGTTTTAACAAAGATTTTGGTGACAAAAAACTACGAAATCAAATTCTTTTGTTTTGATTATTATTTTTTTAATCTTAACTCTAATTCTAATAAATATTATTAATTTGCAATACCTTTATTCTATCATTGCGCAAACAATAAAAATATAAAAATTACTAAATTCTAAAGCTAGGTTTCATGCCAGTAATATTTCCCAAGCTTAAAAGTTTTTCGTGAGAACGCAGCATGTCTACTAATTTATGAAAGGTTGATCCACCAAGCATAAAGTCGCTAAGTCCGCTTAATGTCTCCCCTATTCTATGATCAGTAATGCGATCTTGTGGAAAATTGTACGTGCGAATTCTTTCAGAACGATGTCCTGAGCCAATTTGTGTTCTTCGCAACTCAACTCGTTCTTGTACAACCCGAGTTCTCTCAAAATCGTAAAGTTGAGCAGATAGTATTTTTAAAGCACGTGATTTGTTCTATAAAGAAACTTTAGCATATATATATATATATATATATATATATATATATATATATATATATATATATATATATATATATATATATATATATATATACATATATATATATATATATATACATATATATATATATATACATATATATATATATACATATATATATATATATACATATATATATACATATACATATATATATATATATATATATATATATATATATATATATATATATATATATATATATATATATATATATATATATAAACGCTGCATTGTCGTCATATAAAAAATAAAACCTCTATTTGTGATCTTTGGCTTTGCACAGCAACGACAAGACCAGATGGTATATGCGTTAGACGAACTGCACTATCTGTAGTGTTTACATGTTGTCCACCAGCACCAGATGATCGAAACGTGTCTACCTTTACGTCTTTCATATTTAGCACAACGTCAATACTTTCAGGTTGAGGAAGAACAGCAACAGTAACAGTCGATGTGTGAACGCGGCCTAATGATTCTGTTATAGGAACTCTTTGTACACGATGAACGCCAATTTCGTGCTAAAAAAAATCAAGATTACATCCAGTATTTAGTATTTATTGAACAGTATTAATTTTATACCTTGAGTTTTCCAAATACACCTGAACCAATTATATTAACTGAGACTTCTTTTAAACCTCCGTCAGTGCTTTCACTTTCATCTAGTACCTCAAATTTCCATTGATTACTGGAGGAATATTTATCATACATAGATAACATTTCAGCAGCAAAAATGGCAGCTTCTCGACCTCCTGTTCCAGCGCGAATTTCCATAATGGCATTATTGCTATCATCTTTGTCTTTTGGTATAATAGAATCAAGCAAACGTAATTCAAGATCAGCGATACAAACTTGACAAGCACTTATTTCTTCCTGAACAAACTCTTTCATTTCTTTGTTGTCAATACCTAAAGCTGCCAATTCAATAATCTCCTAAAAGATTATATTTAGTGTAAACATTTGTAACAAGCAGTTGTTGCAACAATTATTAGTTTTAATAAAAAATAAGTTTTTTTAAAAAGAATACATTCAAGAATTCGCGTTTTGAATTTCTGATAAAAAATGTATTCACTTGTTTTTCTAATGATATTTCTGCAAAAGATCTGAACTTATATATGTTACCAACCTATTTGCAAATATATTTCATTTACAAAACAACTGATCAATATTAGAAGAAAAATATTTGTTGATATGAAAAATGATGAAGCTTTTGAAGAAATAAAAGGATCGATGATCCAATTACATGCTTTAAACGTGTAACCTTCAATGTTTTTGACTTTTGCTTACTATTTTGAGATTTGGACAGATGTTACTTAATAATGGTTAACCGCTACTCACTTGAGATATGATTTGTTACTTTTTTGAGATGACTTTTTTAATGTTGTTTATAGGTTATAATGAGGTACCTCATGGTTACAGTGCCTGGACGCAAATTTCAAATTTTACTTTATATATTCCTATAATTTTATTCTGTTACAATTTATTAATTAATGAATTTATTTTGGAAATTATATATTTTATCAACAATCTATAAATTTTTAAATTGATTAATATTACTTAAAAATAACCTTTTAAAAAACAAAAACAAAAAAATTAAAAAAAAACAAAAACCAAAAGTGCACCATTGTGCCCTTCTCTCCCAATATCTCTCCCCTAACCATATAAAATAATCTGAACTATTTTAGTATGTTTTAAAAAAGAAATGTTACATAATCAGACACATTTTAACAACAACAAAAAAAACATTTTATGAATATCAATCAATCAGTACTTCTCTTTTCTTGAGTAGCAAATTGTATATTTCTACAGCTGGCTTCATCCTATGACATTCACTTGAGTAATTTTTTATTTCAGTTGGTGTTAAGTTCTGAAAAATAGAACTAGAAATAAATAGAAAATTCTACAAAAGTAAAAGTATTTAAACTCATGTCAAATTATCAAAAAAACAATTTGAAGTATATCAAATAACTTGAAATTTATAAAGTCATCTTTACAAAGTATTATAGAGTTAAAATTTATAAGAACAATTGTAATTCTATCTAATTAAACTGTAAAACCAAATTGATACAATTCAAAAGCACACATAAACACACATATATTTGTACATTTTACATCATATAAACACTGTTGATGACATCATATTGAAATAGCCATCTGGTGTAAATACATCAACTGAGGGTTTTTATATTAAAGCAATGAAACCAACAAGAAAGAAAAAAGGCACCCAAACCTGAATTATGTAAGGGACTATATATGAGAACCATTAAAAAAAGTCTTTAATAATCAATCTGAATAGCTTTGCAGACGGATAAAGAAAAAAGTCAATTTAATCTTTTAAATCTTGACAAAGAGGCTCCTTTATCTTGACAAAGGGCTTTTTTTATCTTGGTAAAGGGGCTCTTTATCTTGACAAAGGGCATAATTTTGCCAATCAACCTTAAATAATCTTGACACAGGGCTACGATATTGTTAATACTCTGTTTTTGTCTGTTGATGGAATCAGCCTCTTTGAAAGCTGACCTCAGAACCAGTAAACTGAGTATTAGAGCTGTAACCTCATTACAAAATAACGGAAAGGATTGGATAGAAGATGTCATATATAACAAAAAAAAACAAGTTAAGTTTAGGATTTTGGAATACTTTGACAATTTTTGGAGTCAATGAAAAAAAAAAGTGAAGATTCAAGAAAACAAATTTTTAATTGAACAAATACAAACAATGTTTAATAAAAATGTAAATTTTCAAAAGATATATATATATATATATATATATATATATATATATATATATATATATATATATATATATTAAGGTCAGGTCAGGTTTATCCTGCTACTGGTAACATTAAGCCAGTACAACCTGCTTCATGTCCTGCTGCCTTGTAGGATAAGCCTTTTTCGGCAAAGGCTAGGAAATGCAAACTCCAACATAAAACACCCCCTGCCTTGGGGCTCTTGGTTGAGTGAAGGCTAGAGATGGTGTCTCGATAAAAATACTCATCTTGGGCAGATGTTAAATGCATCCGGCTGCTGTCTTGTAGAAAGCCGCCTAGGCAAAGACTTAAGGGGTAAACAGATTCTATCTGTTGACCAGCCTCACACCCCTTCTCCATCTATTAGGCTGGCGCAGATGTATTTTTAATACATTGTTTCCAGTTTAGGATGTTGAACGCTGGATCTTCTTGACTTGGTGCATGGGTTTTGCTTTTGTCTCTGTTTTTATGACTAGGCAACTCATTCTATTATCTCCAAATAAGGGTACAGTTCTAAAACTCAGTTTTATGGTTCTGAGGCCGGCTGGTAGTCAGGTTTCCCGAACTCTGCGGTAGCTCTCAGAGAGGCTGATTCCATCAACAGCTGAAAAATATCAGAGTACTAACAGTGCCATGTTGCGCATGGATGGTGTCCCTGTTTGTACTTTTGGTGTGCATTGCCGAGGCCACATTGGAGCCCTTTGTTACGGCTTAGGGTTTATTAGTGGAAATGAGGCTATTGCTTGGGCTAAAAAACAGTGCACTGAGTACTATCTATGTTTCGAGTCAAGTTCTTTAACAAATTTAAAAATGAAATAAGTAACAAAAACTATAAAACACAAAAAACCACAGTCATCACCAAATTTGCTAAACCTATCATTCACTAATATTCGTAGTCTTCGAAGTAACTTTTCTTCTGTTGAGTCTTATCTCTTACAAAGTTCACAAGACCCACTTGCTCTTTGTGAGACTGATTTGAGTTCAGCTGTCTCATTTTGTGATCTTAGTGTTGATGGTTATCTTCCTTTAATTCATAAAGACTCCAATAGTCACATGCTTGCCCTAGGCATTTACATTCATAAGAATTCACCCATTTGTCGGGAAACTAGGTTTGAATCCACAGACTACTCTTTTATGTGCTTTCGTTTAGCACTACTTCACTCTATCACCTTTCTCTTTGTTCTATATCGCTCTCCTTCATCTCAAAACTGCACTCTTCTTGATGTTATTTCTGATTATATTGACCAAGCCCTCATTCTTTATCCATCAGCCAGTATTGTTGTTGTCGGTGACTTTAATGTTCATCACACTGAATGGCTTGGCTCTAGTGTCAGTGACTCTGCAAACGTCAAGGCCCACAACTTTTGCCTTTCTCAATCCCTAACTCAATTAGTCAACTTTCCAACTCGCTTTCCAGACAACCCGAATCATTTACCTTCTCTACTTGACTTATGTCTTGTTTCTGATCCTAGTCAGTGCTCAGTTTCTCCACACTCACCCTTAGGTGCTTCTGATCATGGTTTGGTCTCTCGAAAACTATTATCTCATTCTTCTTTACCGTCAGAATCCCCCTATCATTGTACATCTTACAACTACCTTAAAGCTGACTGGGACTCACTTTCCGTGATTTTCTTCGTGATGGCCCTTGGGTAGAAATCTTTTGTCTTCCTGTTGACAAATGTGCTTCTTACATAACTTCATGGATTCAGGCTGGCATGGAATCCTTTATTCCCTCTCGACGATTCCAGGTCAAGCCTCACTCATCTCCATGGTTTTCCTCACATTGTGCTGCTGCAATTGCTAATCGAAACCATTACTTCCATATCTATCAGCAAAACAATTCTTCAGAAAACAGACGTCTGTTTATTACTGCTAGGAACCATTGTAAATGGGTTTTGTCTAACGCCAAAACCCGCTATTCACAGATCATGAAATCTCGTATTTCATCACAAAAATTAGGGTCTCGTGACTTCTGCAGAATCTTTAATAGTATCAACAATAAGGGTAAGTCTGTAATTCCACCTCTTTTGTATGGTTCAGACTTTGTCACTTCACTTAAAGACAAAGCTGAATTGTTTGCCCAGAACTTTTCATCAATATCATCTCTTGATGCCACTAGTTGCGTTCTACCTGATATAGCTGTCAAACAGGTTGATCCATTGCTCGACATTCGTATCACTCCAGCTACTGTATCTAAAGTGATTTCCCGCTTAGACTCTTCTACAGCTTGCGGCCCGGACAACATACCTGTTATAGTCTTGCAGAAGTGTTCTCCGGAGCTGTCATCTATCCTTTCTAAACTATTTAACAAGCGCTTATCAGAGTCTTGTTTTCCAGCCTGCTGGAAAGCAGCATCTGTTATCCCTATTTATAAAAATTCTGAAGAGCGATCCGATTTGTCTAACTACCGTCCCATTAGTCTTCTTCCTATCATAAGCAAGGTTTTTGAATCTTTAATTAACAAACACTTAATCTCTCATCTCGAATCTCATAACCTACTTTCTGATCATCAATATGAATTTCAATCTTCTCATTCTACAGCTGATTTGCTAACAGTAATAACCAATAGGTTTTATCGCGCATTAGATAAAGGTGGAGAGGTTAAGGCCATTGCTCTTGACATTTCTAAGGCGTTTGATAAAGTTTGGCATGCTGATCTTCTCCATAAGCTTTCTTCTTACGGTGTATCTGGAAACATCTTTAAGATTATTGAATCCTTCCTTTCCAATCGTAGTATAAAAGTTGTCCTTGATGGACAGCACTCTTCTTCTTATTCTGTAACCTCAGGGGTTCCTCAAGGTTCAATCCTTGGCCCTATATTCTTTTTAATTTACATTAAAGATCTTCCAGATTTTCTCACATCTAAGGTGGCATTGTTTGCTGATGATACTACCATTTACTCTTGTCACGATATGAAGCCAACTCCCTCTGATTGCTTGAAGGGGGCATCTGAGCTTGAAAAGGATCTCACTTCTGCTACAGCATGGGGCTCACAGTGGCTGGTGAACTTTAATTCAGATAAAACTCAATTTTTTTCAGCCAATCATTATTGCAATAACTTAGACCTTCCTATATTTATGAACGATAATGTACTTGATGAGTCTCCTACCCTTCATCTTCTAGGATTAACTCTTACTTCTGATCTTTCTTGGAAACCTTAGGTCAAATCCGTTGCAAAATTAGCATCTGCTAAAGTTGCTTCTCTTTATCGAGCTCGACACTTTCTTACTCTGGATTCTATTCTGTCTCTATAAATCTCAAATCCGGCCTTGTATGGAATACTGTTGCCATATCTGGGGTGGATCTTCTAATGATGCCCTTTCTCTTTTAGACAAGGTGCAAAAACGCATTGTAAACATAGTTGGACCTACTCTTGCAGCCAACCTTCAACCTCTGTCACATCGTCGTAATGTTGCTTCTCTTTCTCTTTTCTACAAATGCTATAATGTGCACTGCTCTAAAGAGCTAGCGCCTCTTGTGCCATCTACAAAAATTCATTCTCCTGTTACTCGTCATTCAACTAAGTCTCATCCTTTTTCTGTTACTGTTCCTAAGTGCTCCAAAAACTCTTATTCGTCTAGTTTTCTTCCTCGAACATCAGTTCTTTGGAATTCGCTTTCTTCCTTCATCTTGCTTTCCTGATTCATACAATTTGCAATCTTTTAAGTCGTCTGTCAATCGTTATCTTGCTCTAGAATCTTCATCTTTTCTCTTCCAGTAACTTCCAACACTAATTAGTGGTTGCTTGCAGCCTTGTTGGAAGCGAAGTTGTTAAATATATATATATATATATATATATATATATATATATATATATATATATATATATATATAAACTAACCCCCATTATTTTTGTACAAACAAAATGTACAAATGTACAAACTGCCTAGCCTAACTAAAACCTTAGTTAATAAATGTATTTAAGCATCCACCTATGGCTAATTTCAATAGCTGACCTTAATGCTTAAATGGGCTATTCTTACTCTATTGTAATTTATATGCATATTATTGATGATGTAATACTCTATTGATGACACAATTAATATTCTGGCAACATGTTATAACGCGATTAAGAAATTATCTTTGTTGCTATGAATTTTATATACAAAAAAAGATAAAATTAATCTTTGATGCTTATTTTGGTACTTTTACTTTCAGACTAAATAATTTTATTTAGTCTGAAAGTAAAAGTACCAAAATTATTAATTTTAAATATTATAACTAATAAAAAAATAACATCAACTTTAATAAAATTTGAATTTAAAAAATAAAAATTATATTTATGAAAAATGTAAATTGTACTTATAAAAAAAATTAAAAAGAGTTTAACTACCTTAGAGTCAAGAAGTTTTTCATTTAACTGTTTATACTTAAACATTACATCTTCAATAAAATTTTCTGTTGCAGCATTCCAATGTTTACGTACTTGTTAAAATAAGTATAATATTATATATACACCACTTTTAAACATCTACTAATATATATATATATATATATATATATATATATATATATATATATATATATATATATATATATATATATATATGTTAACATAACATAAATAAGAATTAAAAATAATTTAAAAATTAAATTAAAAGTTTTTAATTTATGTATTTTTGTTTCATTTATTGAAGAAGCTGAGTGATCAAGCTAATAAAAAAAAAATTTGAATGATCAAGCTAATTAAAACCATTACACACTTGCAAGAAAAAATGTAACTAATAATAATAAATATATATTTTTTTTGTTTAAAACCCACTTTTAAACATCTATTAATAAAAAGTGGTTTTTAAAATAAAACAAATAAATAATAAAATAAATAAAATAGTAAAATGGATTTAATAATAAAAATTTAATTAATAAAAATAATTCTGCTGAATTTACAATTTTTCTTATAGATTGTAAGAGTTTTTTATAATCATATAACTCCTACCTTTAATTAAGCTGAGTACCTAACTTAGGGGTGTTCATAAAATTGCTTTGGTTTGCTCAGACACCAAAAATTAATAAACTAATAAAGTAACCAACCATATAGATAGGCCTTACTTAATTTTTAAAGTGAAAAAAGAATCGAAAGATAAGCAGGTTTTAATGATTTCTGTTATATTTAGGCAGAAGGGTATAAAATTTCTATAGGACTGATAACAACTGACTATGTCTACATTTTACTACAAAAGTTTAGCTCAACAGCTCAATCTTTAGAAACCCAAACCACAGCAAAATCAAACATTGCAAAACAAAAGTATCAGTTGCAACATTAAATACACCATTGTTATATAGACCATTACACCACTTGACTTAAATGTTTTCAGTTAAGAAAGATGTCTGAAGAACAGAAAAAGTTCATTGAAAGCTCAAAATAATCATGGAGAGCTTTAGTTTGAAGTTTATTTTATCAACTTTTATTTCATGATTTTTATTTTATTTTAGTTTTATAAGAAATAGAATTTCATATGAAACTATTTTACCATCAAACAAATATTAATTTATTATAAGCTAAAATAATTAAAGGAAGAATTGAGAACTTTTTAAGTAGTTTACAAACAGATTCAAATATTTATTTTAGTGAAGTTTAACGCACATACACAAACATTAAGACATTACTATCATCGTTATATCATGGTTACTATATATCATCGTTACTATATATCATCGTTACTATATATCATCGTTACTATATACTATCAATTTGAACTTGTGATCAATGAATAAACATTACTACCATAATGAATGATAAACAATAACTAATATAATACACTAGTAAATATACATATACATATGCATATTTAGGTACTTTGTCTTTGATTTGTTTTTACATTTTGTCTTTTTTTATTTGTTTTTGAGTCATTTTATTTTGTTATATATACTAATAATTTGTTCAATTTGTCAACATATGTAGCACAATCGAGTAGAGCATTGACCTGGTAAACTATAAGCTTATGGTTTAATTACCACTAAAAGCATAAAATAATTCTTCATATTTTTTTATAAGTTGATTCAAGATTTTACGCATTGATCATAATTTTCACTAAAGAGTCTGAGTTAATCTATCTATTGCAGCCTCGTTACTTACATTCTATAATTACTTATTATTAAACACTTTACTACAAAGTCTTTTTTTTGTTCTGAACAAGTGTTCAACATATCTTTTCAATTTTTTTATTCTTTTTCTTTTCTTAATTTTTTCCTTATTTCACTTTGGCTTGACAGCCTGGTCTAGTCCTCTGATGGATGTTTTAGGATTTTTTAAAATTAACAACTATCAAAATAAATGACAAAACTAATATAATAAAATAGTAAATATATATAAATAAATATTAACAATTATAATATGATAATAAATATATTATAATGAGAAATAAGTAATGTTACACGAGAAATATATAATAATAAACAATAATAGAATATAATAAATATATAATAATAAATACAATACAGTATAAAAAAATTATAACATATTATTATAGAGAAAAAAATAAAAGAAAAAAGAATAACCTTTTTTATACCTAATAAAATTCTTTTAGATGCTTTCAATGTTGTTGAACATGAGCAGCACAGTGAAGATGAAAATGAAGATAGAACTTTCATACTTTTCATTTTTCATTTATATAATACTAATTTTTTTTTTAAAAAGTTTTACAAATTTTCTAAAAGCTTTTCTTTTTTTTCTAAGATAATAGAAACATGAATATTGAAAAATATAAAATTAAAACAACAGATTGTAAAAAATTAAAACATTATTAAAGCCAGTTACTGTGAAAATAGCTATAAACACGAGCCTCAGTACATATATCAACTGAAGATTGACTTTAAAAGTTAAGCTTGAGGTACAAAACTGGAAAGTACTCTAAAATATCAACTATATTTAGTTATTTCTTGAATTTATATATATATATATATATATATATATAAATATATATATATATATATATATATATAAATTTGTTTATAGCACAGCATGTATATATAAATATATATACATTTGCTGACAAATTTATAATACTATATATACTATATATAATAATATATAAGAAAAATGAAGAAAAAAAAACAAAGAATAATGAAAAAAATGATTGCTGTCTCAACCCAAACTCTTAGTCAATGCACTTTCTGCATTTTCTCCCTAATTAGTCAGTCAATGTATGCACTCTTTTCATTTAGTATGTCAGACTGCTCATTAAAACATGCATTTGTACATAGAGTTTTTTATTTAAAATATTAGATTGCATTCCTAAACTAAAACCTTCAGTTTAAAAAAATAAAAAATCCACCTTCTTCAAAGATCCCAGTCTCCTCCATTTGACAAGCGCTTTCATGCTCTTGCAGTTTTGCGCTCACTAACACGTCAGCCAATACTACGGCTCGCACTTTTTTAAGCGCTTTCCAAATGATTCTAAACATGTTTTTAAATTGCAACAAATTTTTTCCTTAATCAAATTCTAATTAAAGAGGTACAAACAACAAATATTTTTTTAAATTGCACATGCCGGATAAATAATTACTGTCCAGCCAGCTCACAAAAAAGCACTGGCTGGACAGTAATTGTTACAGCTGGATAAGCTATTACTGACGTATGTGTAGCAGGTGTACATACATCATGGCAGGTTAGGGTGTGGATAGATTGCAACTATTTATGAAATCAACTTATTACAACAACAAAAAATTTCGTAAAATCAAGACTATTCACCTTTAGCTTTGGAGTAAATAGTTTTTGGAGTAAATAATTTTTGGAGTAAATAATGAAAGAAATTCTGAAGAAAAAATTCACGAATGGAATAAATTTTAAAACAAATTTAAAAATAAGACAACAAAATAGTTCAAAACTCAAAATTTTTAATATTTTCACTTTTCTATGTTTTATCAAATAGTATAAAACGTCTTATATAAAAATAAAATAGTAAAAAATCTCTACAAAGTTTTAAATAAATAAACAACTTTAACATTGTGTTTCTGCGCATAATTCAAACTGCTTTTTTGTTATATGTGGTAAAGGAATATATAAAATAGGAGCTTTCTTTAGTAATGTTTCTTCTAATGATTTATTATTTACAGTATCATTTATTTCATGAACTGTTGCTAGCTTATGGTCTTTAATATTATCACGTTCTGAAGAACTATGCTCTGAGAAATTATTTTCACAAACAAGCATGCTCTTATAATTGTTAGTTGCTTGGTTACTGTTTAAAAAATTCAAAGGAATTTGATTTACACTTTCAGTGTTATTATATTGAATTGGAAGAAAAGTTGGTGACAACAAATTGGGACCATACAATCTATCATCAATATTCCTGTTGAAATCATTATAGTTGTTATAAAAAGCGTTTTGTGTAATTGGTTGATTGGTAGAACCATTAGAACTAAAGTAAGGCTCATAAACTAACTTAGGTTTATTAAATAAGTCATTATACATTGCTAAATTTTTTGCTGCTTGTTTTTTATTTATATTTAGTGAGGTTATACCAATATTGGTACTTGTGACAGAACTTGTATTCGATCCATGCACTGTCAACCCATGATTCATTGAAGCATGCACCATTGGAGGACTTTTAATAGAATTATCTGTATTTACATATGGATAAAATAAAGTTCCTTTTTTTACTCTACGTCTTACTGGACGCCAGTTTTCAGGAACAAAATTACGTAAATTTTCAGGAATGTCAGAACTTTTAGGATTATTAGTATTTTTTTGACAAGGCCTTGAATTTAATGAACATTCACCAATTGAAGTGTGACCACTTACTTCTGATGGAGTTGGATTCAACCTTTGATTTACTTGATTAAATGCTCTTTTATTATCTATCTCAATACTGGAGCAATGATCTGCTACAGCAGCACACACGATTGGATAAGATGACTCTGAACTAACAATATCACTGAGCCCAAAAACTCCATGAGATTCTGAACCAGCATCCAACAGTTCATTTGATTTGTTGTTAACTTCTAAACTTTCACCTAAGTTAGGACATGTGTGTATTGTCAACTCTTCTTTCTTCCAATGGAAACATCTTAAAATTTTTTTAATTCTATTACGTATATCCCCTCTTGGTAAGCAATAAAAACAAACTGTTACTAATCCTAAAATAACATTGGAAACGGCTGAAGCATAACTGAATATATAATACAAATACCCTGATGTAGTATCTTTATAAATGAAAATCATCTTTGTGAAAACAATTAATAGACAAAAAAATAAGAGCAACAAAAGATTTCCATGAAGCAAATTTATGAGTTCATTTCTGTTTGGAAACTCATATTCTAATATTGAGGGTTTTGTGTGTGTGTGATTTTCGACTTTGTTTTTATATCGAGTAACTGAAGGATTTTCTTTAACAGGTTCATTTAAAACTGGATATAGTTTATTAATGACAGCATGCAAATAACATAATATGAAAAGGTCACCCAACAAAAAAAAAACTGCTGGACACACAAAAGCACCAATTGATGTATTTGGAGCCAACCAACAACTATAAAATAAAAATAAGTTTATATTTGGTATTTTTGAAAATTAAAATAATTATATATATATATATATATATATATATATATATATATATATATATATATATATATATATATATATATATATATATATATATATACACATACACACACACACACACACACACACACACACACACACACACACACACACATATATATATATATATATATATATATATATATATATATATATATATATATATATATATATACATACACACTTACTAAAGCGTGTTTTGATAAGCATTTGCTCACTTTTTCTGCTTACCTTATGCTATACCGTTTTTTTTTCGAAAAAGAAGAAAAAACGAAGAATGATGAATAAAACGATTGCTTCCCCATCCCAAACCCTCAGTGTGTGTGTGTGTGTGTGTGTGTGTGTGTGTGTGTGTGTGTGTGTGTGTGTGTGTGTATATATGTATATATATATATATATATATATATATATATATATATATATATATACACATATATATTGATAGATTGCCTGCCTAAACAAAAATCTTCAGCCCATGTACTCCTGGCATGTTCTACCTATTTGTTAGCTAATGTAGCAGCACCTCTTATATTCTACATATTTGTTAGTCGATAAACAGTAATATGTTGTAAAAAGTTGTATGTAAACAGAAAAAGAGAAAAAAAACATTTAGAATGTTTTTATTTTTATTAAAATAATAAAAAACATTCCAGTCTATAAAGATGTATTTTGCGGTTTCTTAAAAAACTGTAAAATTTAATTAGTTTCTCAATAAAATTTAATGGATTTTGCATCAGAATACTTGACATTTTCAACATTTAAAGATGGTTTTTATTAATAGTGTTTTGAAGTTACTCTTGGAACAGTGCAGTGGATTTTCTATTTCTATCATTTACCTTTTAGATAATTTTTAACTTATCATTATAAGATCCCAAGAAAATCTGGATTTTCCAAAATGACCTGAGATTCTAAATTTATCAAAGGAGGATTCAAACATTGTTGACCTTAGTTGATCTGTAATGAGTTTATACTAAACCTAAAGTCAGCATCAATTGGTTCAATATTGACCCAAATTACAGGCAATTAATGTATAACTTTCCATAAAATAAACATGACTAGACAGCTCCTGCATTGTCTACAGTGAACATAAACCATACACCAGGTGTTAAAAATCTCATACTTTTTAAATAAAAACAAAAAGGCAGAAATAAAAATGTGAAAAGTTGTTTTCATTATGATATTCTCATTAAATTTTAATAAAAAATGGATATAAAGCATTTTACAATGGAAAAAAGAGCATAGTTTGTTTTGACCTTACAATACATTTCAAACAAGGATAAAACTTATTTTTTCAAACCGTAACAGATATTTATTAAAATTACCTTAATAACAGAGGAATTATTTTTTTAAATGATTATTTTTATGATTTGATTACATTGTAATCAAATTATAATTAAAAAACAGTTTTGAAACTGAAAAATTGATTACACGAAACTAATAAAATGTGGCTACAAACAGGAATACACAGATTGTGTGAAAATATTAGAACATTCTATAAATCTTACTGATTTCTTAGCCTTAAGTATGCGTAATTAGATTTTAAAAATTAACAAGTAAACAAGACATGAAAGTTCTGAACATTTTGTTACTTAGTAATGTAACTTTTGAAGCATTTTTCTGATCAAAATATCCAATGAATAACATGTTTTAAAGCTGTTTTATAACAAATTTTTTGCTCTACAAGATAGTACTGTAAAATTTTATTTTATAATAATATTTAAAATAACTGTGTAGAAGCAATTTTAAG